GACCACGGGGTGGGTACTGTCCTTGTTGGGGACGAGGTCCTTGTGGTGGACGCTGCCCTTGTTGGAATTGGCCAGGTGGAGGGTTCATACCCCGCCCACCAAATTGCTGTTGCTGGCCATGGTAAGGTTGCTGGGGACCCATGGGTCGTGGTCCGGGTCTCATGGGACGCTGTTGGGGATATGGCTGTCCTGGAGGTGGCTGACCATACTGTTGCTGTTGTCCTTGAGGAGGTGGGGGCCCAGAATATTGTTGCTGACCAGGGGGAGGCTGCCCTTGCCCCATCTGGAATATAGAAATTGATTTTGTTTTGAGATTCTTATAAGCAGACACAGCAGGAGGCAACACCCAACTGATTTAGTAACAGTAGTGATCAAAGGTAAACATGTCAACAGAGGGGCTGGTTATGGTGTGGAAATTCCCTGCAAGTTTCGAGGAGACAGGGCCAAAAAAAAATATATGTGGGTTTCCGGTTTCCCGACCCTACCTAGCTTTTGGACGTCGAAATCCCGACCCTAAACTTTTTTATTGGATCATGCTTGTAAGTGTTTCCACTTAGAGGAAAAAGTTTGCAGAAAATTGAAATTTGAGGCAATATTAGGGAAATTTATCTTTGGATGTGGAAGCACTGACTAAACAAAATGGCGTCCGCTTGTTCGGAAAATTAAAAAAAAAAGTTTAAAAAAAAAGTTAAAACCGACCTACCCTACCTAAGTTTTTATAAGAAGAAACCGGAAACCCAAATATTTTTTTTTTGGCCCCAGTTTTTCTTACAAGTGCTTGAAAGACAAATTAAGGAAAAACTTTGTTTTACAAGATTGGTTCAAGTTATTTAGGAATATTTTTAAATAAACTTTTTTTTTTAATCTAAAAAGTAAACTTAAGGAAATGTTTTTTTATTCATATTAGCCTATTGCTCTGTTCATTTATGTATCGAATTGTTGAATTGCTTTCATTATTTTTAATTATTGACTTTGCTAAAACATTCTAAATTTTAATAATAATTTCATAATTATATGGTGTTTTGCTTCTCTCTGTGGTTCTGCTAAATTGAGTAAAATATTTATGTAAATTGACTACTTTATATATTAAGCTTCGTTATATCTGTTTGTCAAGCGTTGTGTGTAAAACGTCTGCCTGATGCATCTAGCCCCTTAATGGTTATTTCGGGCAGACGGAACCCATGTCATGTTAAAAAATTAATGCAGACCTCTCAACTCTCACGCATTCGGCGTGAGTCTCACGCAATTCACTTCACTCTCACACGCCACGTTTAGCAAATCTCACGCATATAGCAGTTTCATAGTATTTTTTCAATAAATAAATATAATATTGTATTCTTAAATGCACATTATTAATCATTAGTATAATTACATAGGTGATTATTGAAAATTCTCCACGCTGATTGGTTGCCGTTGAGGTGATTATTACGCGATAATCACCTAAGCAATTTTCAAAATGGCGGCCGAAGCCGTTTTGTCAATTAAATGACGAAGAAATGTGTATTTTTTATTTTTTTCCAAATAATCACCTATGAAATTATACTAAAACAATTATTCACCTCAGGCTCGGTGATTATCGTGAATAAAAACCTCGACTTCGTCTCGGTTTTTATTCACCGATAATCACCTCGCCTTCGGCGAATAATTGTTAATTATACGGATCGCGCATCGAATATATAATCGTGTGTTATTGTTCCTGCATAAACGGCCCGACAGTTTGGCTTTTGCCCGCAATTTGGATTACAAAATAGTACGCATATGTAAATACGGCGAACAAAAGGCAGAATCAGTCGGAGCAGAATTCTATATGTAAATTATCAAAGGCAAATTAAAGCTCATTATTGTATGTCACAGAAATACAGTTATTGTAACTAAAGTGCCTTGTCTTAAAGGAAGTTATGAAGCAATGACGTATTTCATTAAAAAACACCAACTCTCATAATGTACGAAATGCCATTTCAGACCCCCGGACTTTTACAAAGGTGTCATCCACATCCCCAATCTCACTCTTAACTTCTCTGCAAAGTTGAGAGGTCTGTTAATGTAATGTAAAACTAATGTAATAAGTGGGTTCAAATAAAATGTCTATGTATGTTTTACATAGGAATACTGCAAAACATTAGGCGTAAAAAAATACCTGTGGTTCCGGTTCCCGACCGACCCTATTTTTTTCTGCCGACCCTATTATTTTTTTCCACGCGATTGACCGTGCGACCCTATTTTCTCCAGGTGGTTGTGGGCTGCTCATACAGCGTGCCAAAATTGCCTAAATTCGTCCATAGGAAATACGCATCTCTAGTTAATATTGATGTCGGGACTCTACTGCAAATCGCCCAGCAGAAAACCGCCAAAACCATGAAAAAAATATTAAAAAAAAAATTTCTGACCTACCAACCCTAATTTTTTCACGATATGAAACCGGAACCACAGGTATTTTTTTTACGCCTTACCGTATTTAAACGTTTGAGCACCGCCCCTGATTGAGCACCGCCCCTGATTGAGCGCCGCCCCCGAATGAGTGCTGCATTTGAGATCAATTTTTTTTAATTAAAGAGCGCCGCACTAAACAGTGTAAAAACTTTCTGCCTTCAAAATGGGGACATTTAGTGACAAAGACATTTAAAATTTGTTTATTTTATGGTTAAAAGTTCTTCTTATAATTCACAAAAGATTTTTAAAGAGCACTGCCCCCGAATGAGTGCCGCATCTGAAGCTCTCAAAATTTAAAGAGCGCCACGGCGCTCAAACGAGTAAATACGGTAATATGAAAATTTAGTATATTTGCATTCATCAGTTATCTTTGTCTACTTAAGAGAGGTTATTCAGCTCTTTGGGACCTCAAGTTAGGTGTCCACTTCTGCTTAACCCATCAAGCTGCAGAGCTTTCCCATTGACAAGTAAAATCGTCTGGCATTGCGGCTCAATGGGTTAATAGAGGTGTCCACTAAACAGGGCTAATGATAATAGTATTTTGTTAAAGATATGATTGGGACCGGAGATATATGTCCGCATAAAAAGGGGTGTCCACTTAAGACATGTGTCCGTTAATAGGGGTTTGACAGCCGGATCTAACAAATTTTCCGGTATGCGGCAGGATTTGGAGAAAATCCGGCCGGATTTAAATTTCTGTTTTCACCTTAAAAAATTCACCAAGAATGGGATAAACCATCAATTTGGCAGCTTTAAAGTTTAAAAAACATATTATAAAACATTAAGTTATTAACAAAAAGATATTTAATTAAAAAAGGTTTAAACACAATCAAAATCTAAACTGACACTAACTAAAAATAGTAAAAAACATAAACTGCCATTTTGAATACTGAATATTTATCCCAATTTATCCCCATTACCGGTTTATCTCAAATCTGGCAAATCCGGCCGGAATTCCAGCCAGACTTTTTGTCCAAATCCGGTTCCGGCCGGATTTGAAAATTCCAATCCAGTGCACCCCTAATTTCTACAACTTTACCTGTGATGGTGGAGGTTGACCAACATTCTGTGGCTTTCTGGCTGGTAATTCCAAAGCCTGTGAAATACAATAATCTTTACATGCAAATTCACCTTTGCAGCTCGCACAGACCCACAAAACTGGACTAATTTTGAGGAGAGCTAACTGTAAGGATTCCCATGTCTTAATTCTGGTTCAGCAGGGTGCAATAATTCAAACTTTTCAGTTGTACCCAATTGGTACGTCAATGATTATTGCTGTATACTTAATATGTACTTAGTACCACATACATAGGTATAGGTGGCTGAAAACAAAACTAGTTGGTATGATATTGGTGTACATTAGTTGGTATAAAACTAGTTGGTATGATATTGGCCATGATATTGGCCATGATATTGGCGTACCAGAGGTACGCAAGTTATTGCACCCAGATAGTTCAGTCAGGACTCTGAGATTCAAATTAGTGTCATGTCAACAGAGCCTTTGTGTCTGGGTCTATTGTATCAAACCAGACTTTAATTGTTTATAAAATATGTAGTGTGCCAAAACATAACAAAGCCAGCTTTATAAAGTAAAAACTTTAGCAAGCCAAGCTCTTTTACATAAAGGCACGCTTTTTGGATGCGTTTTAGGCTTTTTTGATGCGCGTATCGATTTATTATGCGCCCTAGGCTTGCCGCGTATTGATTCATAGTGAGCATAAAAATAACAGTTCTACCACGAGGAGGCAAGATGTCTAAAAAATATATATCAATTTTAAAAGGAGATTTAATATCCTAAGACTAAATAAATTAACAAATATTTGCCTCAGAATAGTCTATGTGGTTTCTATCTAAGCTAGTCTGTGAAATAAAACGCAAAAAGGCACACAAGCAATACAGAAAAGGAGCACTACGTTAATACTACATAAACACAAACAACATGGCCGCGAACATTTTACAAAAGAGCATGTTTTTTCGACTTTACCTGCAAAAGCTGCGCCCCACGGCCACCTCTGCCTGCCATAGATTAAAAGATTAAAGTCTTTAAAATAATTTCAAGCTGTAAGATAACTTCTAAGCTGTTTTAAAAAAGCATATTTTCGTATATAAAACTGGCCGTTTCTTTGCGTGTACCGAGCACTGATCGAATGAAATTATTGAAATGTGATACTCTTGAGGGCGCGAAAAACAAAAAGCGCCCAATTCTTAGGCGGGCAGGCAGTTTGTTGCAGGCTATTTATATTCTTTTAAAAATATCCCATTTTGTTGCTAAAAACACTCTTAATACAAAGCTTCTGTAACTTAATCGAACAGAGATTGTAGGCAAGATAGTATATTATATATTTTCCCCAAAATTCTACGCGATTTTAATGTTTTTTGTTCTGATTTTAAATTTAAATTCAAAACAATATGGCCGTTTAGAATCGGATTACGATCATATCTCGACAGTTGACCGGAAATACGTCGAGCACCACCCGAAAACAATCCGACCATTCCTTTTGTTGACGTTTTGTCACTTTTGTAAAGTTTGTAAGCAGTTTTATATTTGAATTTTTCGTATTTTTTCTACAATGACACCGCGAAAGCTCGATAAATCGCATGGCTTCATGCAGTCAATAATAAAAAATCAAGTCTTACGTGACGAATACGACAAGGAACAAAAATTAGAACTCGCTACTTCAAAAAAAAAGGATCAACAAATTTTGAAAAATGAGAGGCTCACTGGTACGGTTGATAAGGAAACGAAAAGAAACCGCACGTCAAGAAGAGAGGCAAAACAGTTATACGTCCCGCCACACATGAAAAGGCAAGGCGCCGTGGAAAATGGTGAACAAAGTATGTCACTATTTTTGCTGTTGTCTGGCTACCTGACATATTTCTTTGTTTGTTTGTTATGGGTTTAAATAAAGGTGATATTTGGTACGAACTGCGCATGGCAGAGGATGACAGTGATGATGATAACCATGGTGGTGATCATGGTAGTGATTATGGTGATAGGGATGATGGTAGTGATAATGATGGTGGTGATTAGTGATGACCATGTGATGTTGGTGATGATGTTGGTGATGATGAGGTGTGATGATGGTACTTGTGACGCTGGTGAGTACGATTGTGTAGTGGTGGTGACTATGATGAAAATGATACATATATATCATTCTAGGATGACAATGCAGAAGACCTCGCAGAAACATTTGGCAACCAGCTTGGATTAACAAAATCGTTGAAGAAAGCTCTTCACTACAGACTAGAAGAGGAAATAAAAAGCTGTACTAATAGTTAACATGCATAGAATAATTAATAATCAATATTATGTATGGAATGAGATTATGAGTGCTGTGTATATCGACTCAAAATAAGACAGACTTATATTTGTTAGACAATTGAACATTAAATCTCTATGTGAACAAATTATTCACTCGGGTATATAGTTCTAATGCTGAAGGTTGGTTTACTCTATCAAAGATTCTGAGATCACAGTAGGAATTTTGCATGGGTAAATTCTAAGTTTTGAAGAATTTCTAAGAAATGCTCGAGGAAACTGCTCAAACATTTCTTACAAATTCTTCAAAACTTAGAATTTACCCATGCAAAATTCCTACTGTGATCGCAGAAACTTTGATTGTGGAAAACCAACCTTAACTTCAGTTCCATTGGTAGGTGTCAGTAAGCTTTGTGAAACCTATTGAATATTCAAACCTATAAATATATATTATTTATTCAAAACGTGTCATGTTTTTTTTTTAAATTCTGTTAGTCTTTGTTTTGTTTCTTTCAATTTTTTTTGTCGAGGGGAGATTCTTCACCCTTTCACATCGACGGTTCATTAATGCGTTAAAATTGACAAAATGGAAAGCAAGTTATATTATTAGTACTTGTTTATTTCAATTAAATTTCAAGCAATTTTACTAAATACTGACATAATCATGCAGTATTACAATTATATAAAACATGCTTAATTAAATAAAATATTGCTATCGAGTATTGAGTTGCAAATTGTACATTTTAAAATCTATGATCAAAATTATATACACATTCAAATTATAAAACATTTTATGCATCGCAATTCTGATTTAGCCCAGTAATAAATAAATTTAACTATGATCACCTTGTAACGCGTTCTTTGCTAAATGACATACGTTACTTTGTCAACGTCTTGTTAACAACTTGCTTACAAGGTTGTTGAGCTCAACAGACTTGTTACAAGTTGTTCCAACAACTTTGTTATCGTCCTTCAATTGAACAACTTGTTAACAATTTGTAAGTGACAACCTTGTAGCAACTTGATGAAATAACAGCATTGTTACAAGCTGTTGACAAGCTTGCTACAAGCCTGTTTCGAACACATCTTGTTGACAAGTTGTGAGTCACAACCTTGTAGCAACGTGATGAAATAACAGCATTGTTACAAGTTGTTGACAAGCTTGCTACAAGTCTGTTGCGAACCCATCTTGTTGACAAGTTGTGAGATTTTTACGTGTGTCCGCAAAGAGCTCATCTTCACATATGATTTGTGTTTTTGCCGTGTTGATATCAACACAGTGGACTATCTTTTTTCCCTAACATTTCATCCATTTTTCATCTATCTCTGGTATAAATCGGGTCAATCATTGGCATCGCAAATCGTCTGTTTCCATCATTCTCTTTTAACCAAATACGATGCTGGTACATACCCTTGTTCTCCTCTGGCTTCCACAAGCCACCATTCATTGCTCCCAGAAACATCGCTTTCTTTTACCACCCTGACCAGTTCACCTGTGACCACGCCCAACTCACTGGGACCATGCGACTCAAAGTCATACTTCACAAGGTGGTCGGCCATGTTCACCACACTACCATTACCAGTTCGTCCAGATTTTAGTACCAGGTGGGTTTGACTGGTATTTGGTACCATAATAGTTTTACCAGAACTTGGTACCATACTGCTTTGACCAGCATTTGGTAGCATACTGGTCTGATCATATCTAATACCGGTTTGACCAGGTTTTGATACCATATTAGTTTGTCCAGGCCTTACCATATTGGTATTACCAGTTAGTGATACCATACTAATGGTATTATACGGTGCCAGAAAGCTTGATGGTACAAACCCTATTTTACCATTGTGTTCAACCTTCCACCATTCACTGTGACCAAATGCATCATGGTATTGAAGTACCCTAACGATGTCACCACTGTTTACAGAAAGTTCGGTTGGTGCTTCTGCATTGAAAGCGTACTTCACAATATAAGTTGAATTTCCAGATGCGCTCGCCTAACAAGTTGGAAACATTTATACCTTATTAATTTGATGTTTTTGATATTTTAATATTGTTGTACAATGGACCATTCCACAATTAACCAAAATTTTGATCTCAACAAGTCTAGACAAAATTCCATCACAGCTTGAAAGAGCATCACAAAATTAGTAATATTCCAAAGTTTCGTTGCGAAATGTTGTAAAATGCGGATAATATAGTTTGTAATTTTCAGTCATTTTGTATTACGCACAGAAGTGGTAACCATTTCCCGTTTGTAATCTAAAATGACTGAAAATTGCAAACTTCGCAAGGCTATATTATCCGCATTTTACAACATTTCGCAACGAAACTTTGGAATATTACTAATTTTGTGATGCTCTGTCAAGCTGTGATGAAATTTTTGTCTAGACTTGTTGAGTTCAAAATTTTGGTTAATTGGGGAATGGTCCATTTATGGCAGTGGCAAAGCTAGTCAGAGCAACAGGTCATGCTATGCAAATTTCCAATCATTTGCATTGTTCAACACTTTACAAATGCATTGTCTTTAACCTATTTATTTCAGAACCATCCTCAGAGATACGAAAAACTAGTTTCATATTATTCTGACACTGCAAACGAGCAACGAAAAATTCGTTGGCTCGAGCGGGATTTGAACTCGCATCTTCGGGTATCTAGACCGCCGCTCTACCCATTGAGTTATCGAGTCATTGGGGATTGACCAACGAATTTTTCGTTGCTCGATTGCAGTGTCAGAATAATATGAAACTAGTTTTTCGTATCTCTGAGGGTGGTTGTGAAATAGAATTGAAACACTGCGCGTCCTCTAAGACAAGCGTAAGTCGTCACGAAAATATTTCGTGCACTTAAATTGGATAAGACTCGTTACCAATCCCCGTTGACTCGATAGCTCAATGGGTAGAGCGGCGGTCTAGATACCCGAAGATGCGAGTTCAAATCCCACTCGAGCCAACGAATTTTTCGTTGCTCGATTGCAGTGTCAGAACAATATGAAAATAGTTTTTAGCCTATTTAGATGTAGGTTTACTAGAATAGCATGACCAGTTGCCATGGCTAGCTTTGCCACAGATTTATGGTGAGAAATATTTTTGTATATTAATTCTTTGTAGAGAACAACAAAATACTTAAACTTTGTTAAAAAACTCATTAATAATTCATGAGGAAAACAAAGAAAATCATAAGCGTGTCGTATCTTTATATGTGATAGAGATTTCCCTTGATTTGCATAAACTTTAAGTTTGATTTCTCGACTTACACAACGTATTTTTTGAATAGATCGATCGTTTTTGAAGCAATTTAAACATTCTCAGATAGAGCTATCCAATGTCAATAAAGTTAGTTTACTTCAGATTTCCTTCTACTGTAACACTGGATCAATAAGAGAGGACCCTTACTGGACCTCTATGGAGAACAGTTTAGAACTGATAGAGCTACCCAGTATAAATAAAGTTAGTTTAGTTTTACTCCTGTAGTAACACTGGATCAATAAGGGATGCCCCTAATCTGAACCTCTAGGAAGAACAGTTTAGAACTGATAGAGCTATCCAGTATAAATAAATTTAGTTTAGTTTAGGTTTCCTCCTGTAGTAACACTGGATCAATAAGGGATGCCCCTAATCTGGACCTCTAGGAAGAACAGTTTAGAACTGATAGAGCTATCCAGTATAAATAAATTTAGTTTAGTTTAGGTTTCCTCCTGTAGTAACACTGGATCAATAAGAGATGATCCTTACTGGACCTCTAGGAAGAACAGTTTAGAACTGATAGAGCTATCCGGTATAAATAAAGTTAAACATAAAAAAAACATACCGGGCTAACATTAGGGCCCACAGGCCTGGTCAGAGTGAGAGATTTCTTTGGCGTAAATGCAAGTTGAAATACGTCGTGAGACGCAACTTTATTCTGCGAGAAGAAGTCTGCGATGATGTTCACGCTCCCTGCGTTTACCACAGAAAGCTGAAAAATTAAAGTGACGAAATTAAAGTACATTTGGACCTCTCTAATGTGGACACGAAAGGGACAATACTTACCTGCACAGATGGACTAAATTGATCGAGCGCCTCGGCAAAGAAGTTCTTGTGCACACAGGCAAAATTAGTGATACAGGTCTGTAGAAATTTTAATGACTTGCTGTTGAAAACAGGGAGTTCGTCTAAAAGTTGTGCATTTAATGCTTCGTAGTTCTTCTTTGCAAATTCCAATTCATCTTTTGCCTGTAAATGAAAATACAGACAAATTTATGAAAATTAACGAAATGCCCCTTTTAACACGTTATTGAATTGTGATTAGAGAGTTTGAGCAAGAAAAACGAAGTACGAAGACGAAGGCATACTTGACAATTTTCCCGTCTGCACATTATCTTGCGCATACTGAGTTGGACGTCACTGGTGGTTGCTCAACGTACCTTCCCATGTGTCGCTGTTTATGAATACTGACCCTGATTGGCTGATTCTTGGCGAGACATGAAACTACATTCCGTCTTCGTTCTTCTACCTTCGTGCATTACGAAGTTCACGTCGAATTTGCCAAAATATTCGTTGTGAACGAAGGCAGAAGAACGAAGACGGGATATGGACTCATGTCTCGCTGTTTTGTCCTGATGAGGGTAAGGATTTGAGTCAACATTCTTAAACAGCTAGACATGAATCTATAATCTGTCTTCACCCCTGACTCTAAAGTCAGAATGCGCAATGTAATGTGCAAGACAGGCAAAAATTGTTAACTACGTTTTCGTCGTCCGACTTCGTTCTCTCGCTCAAACTCTCTAATTTTGTAGGACGACGAGGAGTAGCAGGAACAACTTGTAACAAGTCCGTTGAGTCATCAACCATGTAGCAAGTTTGCTGTAAGCTTGTAATAACCTGAAGCAGACTGGTAGCAATGGTGTTCCAACAACTTATCAACAGGATGTGTTCGCACTGCTTGTTCCCAGCTTTGTTAACGAGTTGCCAACGCCTTGTTGACAACTTACTACAAGGTTGCTGACCTCAACAGACTTGTTACAAGTTGTTCCAAAGTGAACATCCTGGGGAAAATGGTATAGAGGTGATTCATCAGTGGAAATAAGAATTTGCTGAAACTTCCCAGGGGTGAAGTTTATCATATGCTCATAGTAAAAATAGAAAAAAAAGTTGGGGTCACGAAGATATGACAAGTGCAATACGCCACCTTTTCCCCCCATATGGCGCCATCTTGACCCTTTTACGAGTTACATAAACAATCGCATATATTTCCTGAAGCACGCCTAATCAATGCAGAGTGTTTTTCTCTTTGCCCTTACTCTTTCTTTATCACTTTACATTGCAGTTCGACTACATATATTAGCTAGAATTTGTTGTAAGACATGCGGAGTAAAAGTGCACAATGCAAAACTGATGAATTAAAACTGTTTACGCTGTTCATAGCTATTGGGCGTCAATTCTACCATCTTGCGTTCACTTTTCTCATAGGCCGAATGACTGAAGTTCTCGCTCCGGATATCAGGGCGCGAAATAACGGCTGGAGGGACGCCGGTCAAGGTGACCGGCCAACTCAATTTTAGCTCGGACATACCGTATTTCTAGCCGGTCGTATTATTCAGCTTAAAGCAAAGCCTAGTAAAGTATACCCCTAAAAATGTGACTATTTTCCCAGTATTCCCAGTATAGCATTACAAAAAGCCTTACTGTAATCAGTAATTAAAAACTCCTTCACATAAAACAACTTGCACTGCGCTAAAACAATGGCCTTAATTAACTCTTAAGCCAAAAGCATGGCCATTGTGACGTACTGCGTGGGAAAGCTGCCGTACATTGAAGTTCTTTTCCCGCAAGATATTGGACAACATGTTATGGTCCTTAATTATAATGCTTGACAACTTTGTTTTGATTATTAATTCAAATGAAGATTAGTTGTTTGTTCTTTTACCAAAAGTAACCGGTCAAAATGACCGGCAAGGTAAGAATTTGACAATTCCGCATTCTGGCCGGACATTGTCCGTTGACCGGCCGTTATTTCGCGCCCTGGGATATATATGTATAGAGCTCACAGGTATTAATCTCCATACAATACCTGTCTCCACTTTTCACGGTCTTTTATTTTCTCCACCTTATTGGACCAGCTATCATAATCTAAACATTTATCATGTCTTTTCTGAATCAGTCTGTGAGGGCCTTGGAATAGATTGATCAGAGTATTCAATGGTGATAGCACTTCCTCATCTAGGACATGTTTCTAGAAAATGAAAAATCACATTGCAAAGTATTTTGTTTGAAATATTGAACTATCCAGTTTGAACAAAATTTAGTTTAGTTTGCAATATATACCAGTTTATTTACGAGATCCTCTCCAATAAATCTTTGTGCTGCATTGTATTCTTGGATATCCTTCGCTGTCGCATTATCTTTACTGAAGTCAGTAATGTTCTCACAAGTCTGAAGTTGGTTCTCGTGGACATCCTAGAAATATATATTATGAATGGAAGGAAATTATGGGAGTTTCGTTAAAACGATGATGGTGGTGGTGGTGGTGATGATGGTGGTGGTGGTGGTGATGATGGTAGTGGTGGTGAAATTGGTGGCAATGATGATGATGCTCATGATAATGGTTGTGATGATGATTATGGTGGTGGTGACGATGTGCTGATAATGGTGGTGCCCATGGTGTTGGTGATCATGATGGTGATGGTGGTGATGATGTGGTGGTGATCATGATGGTGGTAAAGAATGATGATGGTAGTAATGATGATGATGGTGGTGTCCATGGGGTTGGTGATGATGGTGATAACACTGATAGCAGTGATGGTGATGGTTATGGTGAGGGTAATGTTGGGAACGGTAGTATTGATGGGAGATGTAAGGCCAGACCCGCGTTAAAATCCATACCTCAAACTGTTCGATATATTGCGCGATGTTCTTCGTAAAGTTTTTCGCAGTTTTCTCAATCTGATAAAACAATTTCTCATTTTCGTTGAATTTTTGATCCACTGTCTAAATAGGTAAAAAAAAACAAAGATTCAGAAACGTTTAGTTGGGTATCACAATAATATTATCATTTGCGTTCAACCATGAAAGCTTGACGGTTTTATCGCGTATGTTTACGTTTCAAACGTTACACGTTTGGGCGGCAAACAGTGCGAAACGCTGACCTGGGAAACAAGACCAGTCAACTGCGTTATTCTTTGATTGAATCTTGAAGATTTCTTCACAACAGAGTGCCAAGTGAATTTCTGAAATTTCGTTGACAATCCCGACTCCTCGACCTTCTGATATTTTTGTACTAAATAATAATAGAAGAATCGTTGTATTATATACGTATGTTTTCATTACGTGGACCTATAAGGAAAACAGTTCAACACTGATAAATTTTCCAGTATAAATAAAGTTAGTTTAGTTTATGTTTCCTCCTGTAGTAACACTGGGCCAATAAGAGATGATTCTTACTGGACCTCTAGGAAGAACAGTTTAGAACTGACAGAGCTATCCAGTAAAAATAAAGTTCGTTTAGGTTCCCTTCTGTAGTAACATTGAATCAATAAGAGATGACTCTTACTGGATCTCTAGGAGAAACAGTTTAGAACTGAGAGAGCTATTCACTATAAATGCTCGGTTAGTTCGCATTCTCACCTAATTCTTTTCTTCTCTTAAATTCATTCACATCATTGGCTGCAATCGTCATGACTTCGATGGCTTTTATCAACCCAGGCTTGTCTGGATGCTCATCAGGAGTGTTCTGTAATAATACAATGTCTCAGTAAGTTAATGGTCAACGTCAGAAATACTAATACCAACAGTTTGAGAACTCCCTTTAACACAGAAATAAGAAAAATAATGTGTAAACACTCACAAAATGCTAAACCTAGCTTTCTACTGTATGACAAGGTTATCTGGTTATGAAATACTAATATACAATACCTGATAGATTCTAAACATTTTCTGTTGTTAGCAGACTAGAGAAGGAGACAAAACATGGTATGTCGATGAAAATTTCGAGTGGAATTTTTATGCAGGGCAGGAAAAAAACAATTTTCTTCCTGGGAGCACAACCTGGAGACAAAAATTTCCTGCAGAGCAACGGAGTATTTTTGTGCTAAATCTGCATGTGCATAAACATATAGAGTTCTAACTGACCATGGTTTTAAATTCAAGGAATAATGTCTGTCAACCATATGTGGTTGCGCCCATAGTGGGACATGGGTGTTAAGGTTTTTCAATTTTTAAATAGCAAATCTTCATTCAAACGCATTTCCTGCACCTGTTTAACATTTCCTGCACCTGTTTAACATTAACGTTTTAACATTTCCTTATGCGTTGCTGTTTTGCCATTGCTGTTTGCCAGATCGCCATAAATGTTTGCCATTGCTGTCATTTGCCTTACAAGGCAAGATCGCTGACTAGCCTTCCATAAACAATCGTCATTTCCTCAGAAAAATCAACGAAGCATGTGCCTGCAAATATAAGGATCAAACAGTGTCCAGCACACATAAGTCATTTAGACAGGAAAACTAAAAGTATTGCAGAAATGGAGAATCCAGTGATACTTTACTAACCAATGATTTGGTGATGAATATCTATATCTGTGGTGGCAGTTTCCAATCTTTCTAACAGTCTGATCGATAAGGCTGCCACCTCATCCATATTACCAAATAATAAAGCACAGTCAACCATCTCAACCTAGTGCAAGACAATGAAAACGGTAAGTAGAAAGAAAAAAAATTCATAGCGTAATGATTATCAAGATAAATTACTTCTTCAAGGCAACATTATAATAACCACTATCACCATTATCACCACCATCACCACCACCATCATCATCACCACTACCATTACCAACATAATCATCACCAACATCATCATTATCACTACCATCATCATCAACATCATCATCATCATCACCACCACCACCACTACCATCATCATTACCATCACTCTAACCATTATCACTACCATCACTCTAACCATCATCATCACCACCATCACCATCCCTAATACCACCATCATCATCACCACCATCATCACCACTACCAACATCATCACCAACATCATCATCACCACCATCATCACTCTAACCATTATCATCACTCTAACCATTATCATCACTATCATTCTCACCATCACCACCATCACTAACACCACCACCACCACCACCATCATCATCATCACCACCACCACCACCATCATCATCACCACTACCAACATCATCATCATCACCACCATCATCATCACCACCACCAACAACATCATCACCACCATCATCATCACCACCATCATCATTCTAACCATTATCATCACTCTAACCATTATCATCACTATCATTCTCACCATCATCATCACCACCATCACTAACACCACCACCATCATCACTATCACCATCATCAACTCTACCATTCAACGTACCTTCCATTCAATAAGTTGCATCATGAAATTCTTCAAACAAAGATTCAAATCCCGAGCAAATGATTTCTCCGTGTTCAATATTTCATCGATCACTTTTTTACGATGTGTCACGTCTTTTCCTGAACCCTCACCCAAAACCTTTCCTTCGAGCTGAGCAACGAGGTCTATAAAACACAACAATCGCTATTCAAGTAACTGTCACGTGAAAATTTAAACTGGCCTTAATGTCCAAGGCAAGATAGACTTGCGTAACATCATACGAGCGGCTACCGTTCAATAGTTCAAGCTTGCCGACCTACCTTCTAAAGAGCTTAATTCTGATTTCAAATTTTTGATTGCCTCGTCACAAAATGTGATGTTGTCCAGGAGTTCATTGCGGACTTCTTCCTCTTCGCATTCAGACAACAACGACTGCAAATTTTTCTTCGTCTCTATATTTTCCTATGTTGTAACAAAGACCATGCACTTATTGCACAGTATATATACAGCTCTGTCTAGTAAGGGCCATCTCTTACTAACCTCACATATAGCTCTACAAGTTCTAAACTGCTAATCCTAGAGGTCCAGTGAGGATCATCTCTTATTGATCCAGTGTTACTACAGGAGGAAACCTAAACTGAACTAACTTTATTTATACTGGATAGCTCTATCAGTTCTAAACTGTTCTCTCTAGAGGTCCAGTAAATCATCTCTCATTGATCCAACGTGTTACTACAGGACGAAACCTAAACTAAACTAACTTTATGTATACTGGATAGTTCTATCAGTTCTAAACTGTTCTCCCTTGAAGTCCAGTAAGTACCTTAATGCTCTCTTGTAATTGCTGAATTTTCAAGTGTATTTGCTCTTGCGAGGTATATCCAGCCAAGAGCTTTACAAGACGTTTCTTTTGGTCTATTTAAATATAAAGTAAATGTTAACTTTTACGAAGGAGCTGATCAACTAATGCGCGTTCTTGCCCGTTGACAACCAATTCATGATATACAGTGAATAATTTAAATGCTTGATTACCTTTGTTCCATTCTATGCTTACCTGTACATTATCAAAACAGTGGTAACTAGACATGCGAGTGATCAAATTTTGTATTAATTTGTATTACGCACGGGAAAATGCACTACATTTGAACCGAAAGTGGTGCATTTTCCCGTACGTAATACAAATTAATACAAAATTTGCAATTTCACAGGGCTATATATATTTTCCTCATTTTACAACATTTCGCAACCAAACTTTGCAATCTTACTAATTTTAACATGCTCTTTCTAGCTGTGCTGTTGGATTTTGTTCTTCTTGCCTAGATCAAAATTTAGTCTAAAGCTGGAATCATCCATTGGGTAGGTCTGTTTTACCTTCAGCTTTCTTCAGCTGTCTTTTCAATTCTTCAATCTTTCTTTTAGTAATTCCTTTCTTCGACTCCAGCTCTCCATGTCTCGACGTATCTTTGTTCACAGCCTCTATTAAAACCTCCACTCCTAACAATACTTTATTTTCTTTCTGATTGGAAGGTGAGAGAAAAATATAATTATAACAAGAGTTTCATAGTGAGAACATGAACTTTCCGATAGCCCTCATAGACAATTATCGAGATTGAAACTGCCTTTTCCGGGCATAGTAGTTTATTAACAATTGGCCTAACAAACCTGTAATTCGTTGTTCAACTTTGTAATCTGCTCATCCAGTTCATCCAGGATTGGAAAACCTTGGTTTGAACCACCTTGATCTAGAATTAAGTGGATTTATTTTAACACCACACACCATACCATATCATATCATATCATACCACAGCACACAATCCACACTACACCGCACAATTCCACACAATACCACACCATACAATACCACAAACATCACATCTTACCATACAATGTACACTACACCATACCATACCATACATCTTATCTTACCATACCATACTGTGTACACAACACCATACCACACATCTTATACTAATTACAGCACACCACACCATACCACACAATCCATACCATACTGGATACCATAACAATACCTTGCTCAGTCAAAGGCCTTGCAGACTGCTTGCTTCTTTTAGCCGGAACTGGTTTCTGGGACTTTGACAATTCTCTGAGCTCATTTAATGAAGGTGAATTCTGTCTTGAACCACTCTTCTCAAACTGTTCTGCCTGTTCCATTAGTTTCATCGACAGTGCATCGGGAGTGGACGGCCTGGGCGGGGGGACTGGACGTTCAGGGGGGAGTGGAGATGTAAGATCATCATCTATAGATTTGTCCATTAAGGCTTTATAAGACATACTGGGCGAGCCTTTCAAGGTTTTGTTTCTCGATGGAGGGGCAGATTTGGAGGACGGAGTTTCGTTTTGATCTTCAAACGTCACCCACTTGTTCCCTTGAGATTTGAAAGAAAAAAAATCTGATTAGTTAAATTTTGTATTAACTTGTTCAAGTGCAAGGACAGGCAAAATCTTAAAAAAAAAACACTATACAGCACATATCTTAGAAAATACACTATACAACACATACTAAAACAAATCTAATTACCATTTGTTTTTGAAAATCCAGGACTTTTCTTCGTAGGTGTAACAGGTTTAGGTGGTAGGACTGGTTTTACTGGTGATGAAACAGGCTTAACCGGCTTCTTTAAGAAATCTGGTTTGGGTGAGATGAGCGGCTTTGGAGCAAGAGGTAGTTTGGGGCCGAGTGAAAGAGTGGTCGGTTTCAACTGTGGTGGTTTGGTTGTCGTTTGGTTTAAAGGTTTAGTTTGTGGTTGGTTAGGTGGGTTTTCAGCAAGAGGAGAGGCGGGAGAAAGTTGAATTTCAGGTGCAGTTGTGACTGTAGAGGCATTTCTGCTTGACGGGGTTTGCAAAGATGGAAAATGATTAGTTTTGAGTTCAGCTGATATTGTCAAACCAGAAATGGAACTAGTCTTTGTCTTAGGTCTAGTTGATCCCACATACATTGATTTGTTCTGAGAAGATGGTGGTACATGATTACCTTTTGATCCAGCTGAGTTTACCAACACTGGAGTAGGACCACTATTTGTCATTGGACTAACTGATTCTGATAAGCCAAGTTCATTCCTTTGTGTAGTTTCATTATACTGATTAGTTTTCAATTCATCTGACTGTAGCTCAAGAAACACGGCTGGACAAAGCCCAATGTTTTCACCTTTTCGTCCCAAAACCCACTCCTCGTCAATAATTTGCTCAATCCAAATCATATCCCCAACTTCAAAATGCAAGTCCCCCTCAATATCGGAAGCATAATTATAAATAGCCAATGCCTTGTCGCCGGTCTTTAATGAGTACACTATCTCTTCTTGGGCATGAGGGAGACCTTCCTCATCCCCAAAAGAGGTAGCTCCCTCACCAGGGAGTGTAGCCGCTCCCGACAGTTCTTCAAAATCCTGTGGTAGTCCTTTCTCAATCTGAACAAAGGTCGACGGAAAAATCCCTATCTGACCATTACACTCCCCTTTTATCCATTCCGAGCTAACCCACTGGTGAAGAAGGATGGTCTCACCTTCTCTAAATGATAGCTCTGACGAAGTCTCACCGACAAACGGATAAACCGTTATAGCATATGGAACATCTAGAGTTTCTGATTTTACATTTGGTGCTTGGCTCTTGGGCAACGGCTGGTTTGTTGAAAATGGCTGGCTCTCGGCTAACTGATGGCCTTTGGGTAATGGTCGCAAAACTTCCACAAAACTTTTCGGGAAAATTCCTGTGCTTCCATCATAAGTACCCTCAAACCATTCTGTATCTATATCTTTTGTCAGGATGACGATTTGTCCTGCTGGAAAGCTTAGTTCAATATTGGACAACCCTTTGAAATTGAACAATGTTTTTGCATGGGGTTCGTGGGGACTTGGCTTGGTAGGATTTTCCTGCAATGTTGTTGATTCAGTTGCTGTAGTGATTTGGTGTCTTGGCTCATGGAGTTGGGGCGGTGGGGGGACATCATCCAAGCCGTCGACCAGGTGTGCAGCGAAAAGGCCAACTTCACCGGCAAAGCTTCCCTGACACCAATACTCATCCACACGACCTAAAAATGTCAACTCATCGCCTCGAAAAAACGTCAGCACACCGTCATGACCGCTTATATATGTTTCTTTTGCAACTACAGTCTTTCCAGGAGTATTAGATACTATATTTCCAATGGCAGAAGCAGATGTTTCCTTTTCATTGGCTGCAGAAGCAACCAATGGTTCGACAAAGTTTGCAGGGAATAAACCAATGTTCCCATCATGTTCACCCTTGATCCAATTCTCGTCAATCTGGTTTAAAACTTGAATGACGTCTCCTGCACTGAAGTTCAGATCGCCAGTTTCACCAGAATGGTAGTCATACAAAGCCTTTACATAGGATGTGGCCATCGGTATTTCTAGATTGAATATAAACCAATTCTCAGGTTTCGTATCACGTCACACGGTCCAAGAGATTGACCAGGACAAGAGTCCAGGTCTATTCCCTGCGGATGTTAGGGTGAATGTCTTAGGGTCTTGTTAAAGGTCTGTTTAAAGGTATGTTTGCACACAACAATTAATTGGGCCGATTAAGTAAATGATATTTGAAACATATGCTGTCAACATCATCTGATGACATTGGCAACTGAAAACATTTGTCATTAAGATTCGGCAAAACCTGAAGTCTGCTCGATTCATTGTTGTGTGCAAATGTACCTTAAGACACAGCCGGATGCCAAATTAACTGATATCACCTGTTAGAAACAACTGCAAGGTTGTCAACCCCTGAAGGCCAATTCACACTACACGAGTACACGTCTGCCTAAAACGGTTGTATACTTATAACTCGAGTCGTACAGTGTAAATCAAGCTCACAACTTGTCTTAGTTGTCTATGTTGTTGTAGGTGAGTTAATTGTGTGCTTGGTTTAAATTTTCAAGTTGTAAGCAGGTTGCAAACGACAGCTTTAGGCAAAAGTTGTGTAGTGTATAAAATCGGACATAAATATGCCTGGCAGATGTCACATCTGTCAATTATTTTCGTTATGAAAGTGCCTCAAGATGTCAAGTGTCAATTCAAGTACTTTTCACATTCATTTAACAAAAATACAATTTCTGCAACTACAGTACAATATTTTCATACCCATTTTCAAACCCCCGTTTCAAAACACTTCCGTATGTTTATACTAGAAGCTAATTTGTAAATATTTTCATCCAAATCGGAACTTGACAGGATGTTTAAACACATTTAAAATCAAAATCAAAAATAGTCTTTGTATACCTTACGAGCGATATAACAATTTCTCTTTGAAAACCGTGAAACTATCAACAGCTTAAGCATTTCTACTTGATATTAAATAAAAAAAACATGCCCTATATTCAATGAAATAATTGTCAAAATTACAAAACCATGTCTTGAAAATTTTCCAAATTCTTCAGCAAAAATTATTAGTTAAAACAAAATATTCGCACTAACCTTTAAAATAAACATAATCTTGAACTACCTGACTACAATATTACAGACGAAAATTGGAATTTTAGCAAGAAAATACATAAAAAATAAATGATTGTTTGTGGTAGCGTCTACGGATTTTTCCTATTTAATTTGGGATTACTGGTAATTACAGCAGGTACGTCATGTAAAGAAGATTGAAGCGGTGCATAAATTTCAAAATGTTATCTATTTTACACAAGCCCCTTGCTGGACCCATAGTTTGAACCTTGAACACTTTAGAACTGATATATTTTCCTGGTTTCCTCTGGCAGTAACAATGGACCATTCCCGGCATCAGTGGTCTTATTGGACATCCAGGGAGAACAGCTATTCAATGTGAGGCTGCGGTTTACGCTACAGGGTGTTCCAAAAAAACAAACTATTGAAATAACGTATTGTTAGAATTTGAATGCCTTAGCACTCGGCTGAACTCACAAGTGCATAAAAGCTTGACATAGGTAAATTTTTTGCATAAAGAAACTGTTTAAGAAGCTGCTTTAAATTCCGAAGAGCGGAAAATCGTGCGCTTTACAAAGATAAATTGTCATCAATTTTAAAATAATATCATTTTTATCTTATGTTAAGGGTTATATACCTCAGATACGAAAAGCAGGTTACTGGTTATACGTCTGGCTTTCTAGAAAACACCACCTTTTTCCGTGAAAAGAATGTTTCTCAAAATTATTGAAGACTTTTTGAGGCCAAAGCAATTTGTCAAAAGTAGACTGCAATTACACTGTATGTATCGTATAGCGACAATATGCACTATAATACTATTATTACAATTTCTTTAGAAAAAGAAAACTTCACCATTGCGTTGATTTATGCATGGATGATCATCTTGCGTGCTGTATAGTATAGCATGGCAATATGGCATGGTATTGTATGACATAGTTTAGTATATGGTATGGTTGCATGGTATGAACTCGAACGAACTATGACAGCATATATCTATAATAGCAAAAACTGAAAAACACCAGAAAATTGAGATGGATAGGGATTAATCCGTATGCATCTCAATTTTTTTAGGTATGGTTTACCATGGTATGGTATGGTATGGTAGCTCACCTTTTCTTTATATGATTGTTATTTCTTCTATTCTCCGCTCTCTGTTCACTGTCCGAGGTTTCACTGTCACTTGAACTCGAGGACGACGATGAGCACGAGCTGGATGAATCAGACTGGACGCCAGCGTCACCATCCGTTCCCGTTCTGTCAGCTATCTCAATAAGTTCTGGACGTTGTCTCTGAAAAATTAAACTAACTTTATTTATACTGGATAGCTCTATCAGTTCTAAACTGTTCTCCAAAAAGGTCCAGTAAGTATCATCTCTTATTGATCCAGTGTTATTACAGGAGGAAACCTAAACTAAACTAACTTTATTTATACTGGATAGTTCTATCAATTCTAAACTGTTCTTCCTAGAAGTCCAGTAAGGATCATCTCTTATTGATCCAGTGTTACTACAGGAGGAAACCCAAACTAAACTAACTTTATTTATGCCAGAACTAGTATACTGCTACCCTGGATTCCAGAGCCTTCGAGAGTATATAATAAATTGAAACGTCGCGAAGGCTCTGTTCAACGCTGCATGCTTGAATTGCATCTAATACAGAAACCATTATTTCGAAAAATTATCTTCTTCACTGCAATTTATACACACCTGTAACCTCTGATACCATTGTTTAGAAAGTTTGGGTCGACCTCTGAAAAGTAAAAATTTCAATGATTATAGTAACAACTATAGTATAACAGTAATTCGAAATTTGAACTCTTTTCTTTGTAATACCTGATCGTTTTTGGCCAAACGATGTGAAAGTTGGTCGGACTAGAAAAGTTCTGAGTGACAGCAACAGTCGTGTCTAAATTTAACACAACATGCCACCAGCCAGCGGGAACAAAAACTGTTTCACCAGGAGATTGTAGAAGTTCCAGCTGAAAGATTAAAATAAGAGAGAACAGTTTAGAACTGCATGATAAAGCTATCCAGTATAAATAAAATATAAAGAGATGATCCTTACTAGACCTCTAGGAAGAACAGTTTAGAACTGACAGAGCTATCCAGTATAAACAAAGTTAGTTTAATGTAGGTTTCCTCCTGTAGTAACACTGTATCAATAAGAGATGATCCTTGCTGGACTTCTAGGGGGAACAGCTTAGAACTGATAGAGCTATCCAGTATAAATTAGGTTTCCTCCTGTAGTAACACTGGATCAACAAGAGATGACCCTCACTAGACCTCTAGATAGAACAGTTTAGAACTGATGGAGCTATTCAGTTTAAATAAAATCAGTTTAATTTAGGTTTTCTCCTGTAGTAACACTAGACCAATGAAGAATGATCCTTACTATACCAAAAGAGAGAACAGTTTAGAACTGATAGAGTTATGCAGTATAAACAAGTCCCACTCCCTACCGGTGCATATTCTTTAGGCCATGAGGGATCTTTAATTTTTGGGTACATTGTATTAAACCAAGTTATGGCTTCTCCTTTCTGATTTCCTCCCTCAATGGACGTTAATTTCACCACCTCCCTTGGCACATGTGTAGGAAACATCACCCAGCGTTTGTGCCCGGATATCAGGCTATTCCAGGCACTAGTGCCGAGGGGATCAATGTGGATACCAGTCCCTGAGCGAGCTGGACCCAACACAAACCATCTACAGACAAAGTAAATAGTGTGGCTGTTAGGAGCCAAGAAACAACAGACTAAACATTTTCTGATATGGACATGTTTAGAGACTCTGCCCTGACAATCCAAAATTTCGTTTTCCCAAAGTTGAAATTAAAGTTGAAAAAATGAAACGTCTTGAAATTCAACAATTGTATGGAAATTCACATTGCTTTTAGATGTATAACAAATTGGCTCTGTGTTTGAGGTTGCATTGCAAGTCGTAGCAAATATGGCCAGAGTAACATGGCCTTTACATGAACTAGAAGTGCTGTTATTCAACAAATTCAATGTCCATAAGTACAATGCAAGCAGGCATTTAAACACAGGATTCAATTGGCCATACCTATAAGGCGGCCTTTTAGATTCGCGACAATATCGAAATAAATCGTCAGCGAAATATTTTGGAACTTCGTAATCTTCTACCAATCGTTTCTTTTTATGGTGCTGTAAAACAAGAAACAGTAGAGTTAGGAGATGGCTAAAATATGCTAGTCAATAATCAATGGTTTCTTCACCTTACCTCACCATATGAACTATCGAAAATATATAAAGGACTGTCATCAGTTGTTGTTTTAACATACTCCATGTAATATTTCAGTTTCATCTTCACAGAGTAACCATCATCATCTTCACCAACTTTGAATTTCTGATTTCTATATTTCTTCACCAATCTCTGGAAATGGTACATGAAGATATAGACAATTTATTCCTGAAACACTATTTGTCATTTTTTACACTTTTCTATAATGCAACAATTAGGATAACAAAAGTCACGATCCAGTAGTCAGAACGCTCCATTGCCTTTTCATTGTTTTGAAAATCAGTTAAGAACTGATAGAGCTTCCTCCTGTAGTAACACTGGATCAATAAGAGATGATCCTTACTGGACCTCTAGGAAGAACAGTTTAGAACTGATAGAGCTATCCAGTATAATTAAAGTTAGTTTAGTTTAGGAACCTCCTGTAGTAACACTGGATCAATAAGAGATGATCCTTACTGGACCTCAAGGAAGAACAGTTCAGAAATGATAGAGCTTATCTAGTCCAAATAGACATTACTTCTAAAGTCCATCTTCTCATGGCCGGCCAAGAATCCAGACAATTTGTGATCACCACAGGTCTCAGTGGTCTCTCGTATTTCTTGATGAACTCGTCATGCGAGGTTTCATTGTAGTTAATCCTTGGGACATCGTCTGTAAAACTATCGAGGCGGAGATCAAATGTATTGTGAAAGTTGTATTTTGTCCAGCCATCCACCTTAAGTTCTAAAATAGAAAAATATCAATCTGACTTTCACCAAAGTACCTAATAAAAGCTAGACGGTGGTTCCAGTTTCAATTTCCTGAAAAATCAGGTAGGAAATTTTTTTTTGATGAGTGTGATCAGTTGGCATTACAACAAATCAACAATACATAAACATTAATTAAGTAAGTGGCTATGTGGTGTCAAAGATACCACTCCCCTGGGCGTAGGGCCTGAGAATGAAATTTTTACTCTCTGAAATGGCATTTCCCACAATTTTAGGGAATACTGCAGTTTTTAAGATTGTGTCATAATTCAAATTTTAAAACATTTCCCTCGACATAAGGAGGAAATATTTTAGGTTATGATTTCAAGAAACAACCAGCGATTGTCTATGCTATAGATGGCAGACCAATGGATCCTGCAGTCAGAAAATGTTTTTATCATAGGAAGATAACAAATGATCTGCTTGGTCCTTGGTTCACCAAGGCATTTTCTGCAGAATCTTTAGAAATCATTTGCAGTTTGTTACAATTTGAAAAATTTTGTGCAGATTTCCATGATTGGAAGAATTTTTGTGCAGGAAATTAACCCATTAAGCTGCAGAGCTTCCCCATTGACGAGTAAAATCATCTGGCGTTAGACAAGCAAGAAAAATAAGTAGGGCGCATTGCGGCTCAATGGGTTAAATTCCTCCAAAGGCAAAACTTTACACTCTGGGCATTCACCCCAGATCACTTACAGAGGGCCCCCTATACTTTTTGTGTGAAGCGTGAAGGGCTTATTTTACTTAGCCGTGAAACGTGATCGGGCCCCCTATACGTTTTGCGTGAAGGGCTTATTTTACTTAGCCGTGAAACGTGATCGATGATTTTCTTAATCCGTGACTCGTGAAAAGGCAAAATATTTTTACGTGAAAGCATATTGTGAAGAGGCATAGGGGGCCCTCCTTACATGCAAACAATGGTGCTGCATAATAAATCTATATACAAATAAATCTATAATATAATAAATCTATATCAAAGTTTATATATTAAAAATGTAGTATTTCATAGAACATTTCTAGTACATCATCGACATCATAACCTTACCAGGCCTTGCACTTTCTTTTGTTCTCTTGATGCGCGATTTTGACTTCGAGCTGGTTGTAAAATCTCTCATGACAAAGCACGGTCACACAAATCATGTAGCAATGTGTAATGGCTGATTTGCCTGCATTAAACTATTTGCCCGCACCTGCCCTAAAAACAGGAACATTAGCATAAACTGCATAAAATAATATGAACACGCTTTCGTTGGCAGATCACAGGATGCAACTACCTGAAAAATACACATAAAATAAATTCCTTGGTTCTCATCACCGCCCGACTGTATTTTAAGAGCCGCGTGAATTTTTTTTATATTTTGTTATACAATATAAATGTACCGCCCGACAAAATATTTCAAGACAGTTATGTTTTTTATATTTTATATTGGGTTTGGGGGTGCTAGACACCACTTGATGAAGGAAATTGGCACCCCCCCCCCACCGACCCACTGTACCCTACCTCGCCAAAACGGGGCAACGCCCTCCTGTAAATCAATCTCTGTAAAAACATAATATATACATGAGCATACCTTTCTTATAAATCATCGACACTTCTTCGTTTTGTTTTTGCTTTGACATCAACACGGAACTGTCTGTAATCTCTACCACTTGCATTCTGTGTAGAACAATAGTATGTTCCTGCGTCTGAGATCTGAACCACTTTGATGTAAACCTCCATTCCGATCAATTTCCCGTCCAGAGCGAGCAGTGGCGTACGGAATACACGGCTTCCTGAAGCTAAAGAAATGTGAGAAAATATTAGAGCCAGTTCATGTGAACAAACTCAGCTGAGTGAGACCCAATTCAGACGCCGAACATAATTAGCCTTTCTTACATGGGCCTATACCCGCCATTTTTGGAGTAGCCAGAGAATCTAGACAGTCTAAACGATGTGAAAAGCGACTTTACAAAATTGTAACTGTAAATTGGCCATTGTACACACAAATACAGTAATAAAAATCGCACCAGCGCACTCATCTATATACCAGAATAGCATGGTCATATACTGTATATATACCAAAATCTAGTATGCTCATATATACATACCAAAATCCAGTTTGCTCATGAGCATATATATGGTGTAGCTTATATATTATGTTATGATATGTGTATGTGTATTTAACCTGTCGTTGATGTTGGCTACCGTAGTTGAAATATTGCCAGTTAAATTGAGAAGAATCGAACACTTAAAAGTAGAATATTTTTGAAACCCTTGAATCCAAGAAGCCCAACTACCTACCCAGAGGATTGCCCAAACGGTCAACAGTGACTGTTGGAGACGGGTCTCCGTCAACGAAACATTCCAGTGTCAATTCTTCTCCAACGTAAGCTGTCAAACTCGAACTTGGAACCGTCTCGGAGATCTTGGCAGGAGCTGAATAGATAGAAGATAAAGAATAGCTGTATTAATTCTTTCTATGAGGTATCCCTTACTGGTCCAGCGACATTAGGGAAGGAAACCTAAACTAGACTAACGATAGCTCTATCAGTTCCGGACTGTTCTCCCTACAGGTCCAGTAAGAATCATCTTTTATTGATCCACTGTTACTACAGGAGGAAACCTAAACTAGACTAACTTTATTTATCACTGGATAGCTCTATCAGTTCCGGACTGTTCTCCCTACAGGTCCAGTAAGAATCATCTCTTATTGATCCAGTATTACCACAGGAGGAAACCAAAGACTAACTGACATTATTTATACTGGATAGCTCTATATCAGTTCTTCCTAGACGTCCAGTAAGGATCATCCCTTGTTGATCCAGTGTTATTACAGGACGAAACCTAAACAAACTAAGATTATTTATACTGGTCTAAACTGTTCTTTCTAGAGGTCCAGTAAGGACCGTCACCGACGTCCCAGTCAAATACATCAAATCTCATACCTGCACAATCCCGCAGGGCTGGACTGCCTGTCGATGCAGTAGTCATTCCTTGAGGACAAGGCATGCACAAAGTCGAGGCTGTCTTGTGTTGATATGTACCAATAGGACATGGTTCACAGGGCGATGTTGTATCATTTAGACCATTTGATGAGAATGAACCGGGTTTACATTGTACTGAAATAAGAAAAAAGGAATATAATCACTGGTGTCTGAACAGCAGTAGACAGTTTGAGGCTAAAAGGTATGCCTTACAGACACGCTACCTAGCAACACATAACAAAATATGCTCTCCTTACCAATGCAATCAGATTTCTGTATTGATCCAGTGTTAAGAGTGACACTGCCTTTGGGACAAGCTTGACAACTGACAACGCCTTGTTGATCATTGTACGAGTTGAGTGGACATCGTTTGCATTGCTTATCTGCAATGCTGTGGTAGAGACCTGTTTCACACGGGTCTAGAAATTAAACACAATATAACAATGAATTAAAAACGGAAAATTATTTCGTGTTTCGTTATGATTTTGTATTCATTGGTATGTCGCATAGCTCCTGTCTTTTTCGATTCCACGACACTAGGCGGGCTGGCCAAAGAAGGGAAGCAAGAAGGCCTAGCACAATTCGAAAATCTGCCCTTTTTGTATAACGTTATGCCTTTGGGATGAACAATGAAGATATTTCGATATGGCATGAAATGCACGTAATGGAATGAAATGATTACAAGAAATATCTTACAGCATCTGTTCTTTGACTTCACAAAAATGTATCCCAGATCACAACTATTATCAGGGTTGACAGGTTTAGTTGCTAGTAAAAAAAAAATATAATTATTATCTTAGATGAGCATTCCTTATTATTGGTTCAGTGTTACTACAGATGGAAAACTCCAACTAACTTTATTTATACTGGATAACTCTATCAGTTCTAAACTGTTCTTCCCAGAGGTCCAGTACGGATCAACTATTATTAATCTAATTTTATACTGGATAGCTCTATGATTTCTAAACTGTTGGATGTCCAGTAAGGATCATCTCTTATTGATCCAGTGTTACTACAGGAGGAAACCTAAACTAGACTGACTTTATTTATACTGGATAGCTCTATCAGTTCTAAACTGTTCTTCCTAGAGGTCCAGTACGGATCAACTATTATTGATCTAATTTTATACTGGATAGCTCTATCATTTCTGAACTGTTGGATGTCCAGTAAGGATCATCTCTTATTGATCCAGTATTACTACAGGAGGAAACCTAAACTAAACTGACTTTATTTATACTGGATAGCTCTATCAGCTCTAAACTGTTCTTCCCAGAGGTCATTGTTATACCTATAGTCTCTCCTCTGTGCTGTTACTGTACGGGAGGACACTAGACTGAACTAACTTTATTATACTGGATGGGTAGTCTATTTCTACCATTTACCTTACCTACACAATCAGGTGCCCTGGTGAATATAGTCCATTCCCTGTTCAAATACATCTTAAAGTTGCCTTCACGACAGATGAACGTGCCAGGATAAGGCAGGGTTGGTTCAAAGCTGTATCCTGGATTACATACAAGCCGTACATAACGTGAGTTTCCACTAAGTCGTCCGTTCTTCGGTGGTGCCATGGGAACACATGTTCGTGCTAAATGGTAACAAGAAAAATTTGAACTTTATTTCTATATATGACCAATGGCTGCAGACGTTAGGGAGCCATGGAGCAATGCTACCTCCTTATTCAAAATATGCGCTTCAAAAGTTTGTTGAATTAAGAATTATAGAGTCACAGATCAACTCCAAATATCATGTGCAGAAAATGTAGCTAGCTATCTCAACCTGACCCTACTAAAACCTGGTCAAATCACACAATGAAAATGCTTGTGAAAACGTTGATAATTATGATTGATCTCTAAAGAGATGCTCGACTATAAATATAAAATACACTGAACGCAACTCACATTTGATCGTCACAGTGAATGAGCAGTTGGCGGAATTTCCAGCTGCGTCGAAAACAAAATAGTGCACTTTGGTTGTCGTGCCTCGCTTGAATTGCGATCCTGAAGTTTTAGTTTGTAGTTTGTTAGTAATACCAACATTATCACTGAAAGTCGGCTCAGTCCATGTAATAGGCAGCAGCCCAAAGTCTGTGGTTTGTGTTATGTCTGCTGGACAGTTGGATATCATTGGCGGAGTTGTGTCTAGATAATGAAATATATAAGACGATAGTTACCACACCATACCATATACCATACCATACTATATACCATACCATATACCATACCATATACCATACCATATACTATATACCATACACCATATACCATACCATATACCATACCATATACCATACCATATACTATATACCATATACCATATACCATATACCATACCATATGCTATATACTATATACCATATACCATATACCATATACCATACCATACCATACAATACCATACCTCACAATACAATACAATACAATACAATGCAATGCAATGCAATACATATAACACCACGATACCCTCCACTTCCCCAAACCCCCTCCCCCAACTCACCTTTAACAAAAACTTGGTAATTACAAGACTTCACCGAACCCTCTAAATTACTGGCCGTCCAAGTAACCAAGGTTTTGCCAGCACGGAACTCGTATGAGTTGCTCAAATAGCTAGGATGTACGACCAATTTCTCCATATTAGAGTTGGGTAATCTCCATTGTTCGCCCAAGGCAATCTTGCTCTTGTCAGCCGGCAATTCTATCTCGACATACGGTGGGCACACAATCCAAGGATTCTTGTATACTGAAATATGACAACATTGGAGTTATTGATCCAGCACTAATACAAAAGGGAACTTATAGATCCAGTAAGAATCATCTTTTATTGTTCCAGTGTTACTACAGGAGGAAACCTAAACTAAACGAACTTTATTTATACTGGATAGCTCTATCAGTTCTAAACTTTTCTCTCTAGAGGTCCAGTAAGGATATCTCTTATTGTTCCAGTGTTACTACAGGAGGAAACCTAAACTAAACTAACTTTATTTATACTGGATAGCTCTATCACTTTTAAACTTTTCTCTCTAGAGGTCCAGTAAGGATCATCTTTTATTGATCCAGTGTTACTACAGGAGGAAACCTAAACTAAACTAACTTTATTTATACTGGATAGCTCTATCAGTTCTAAACTTTTCTCTCTAGAGGTCCAGTAAGGATCATCTCTTATTGTTCCAGTGTTACTACAGGAGGAAACCTAAACTAAACTAACTTTATTTATACTGGATAGCTCTTTCAGTTCTAAACTTTTCTCTCTAGAGGTCCAGTAAGGATCATCTCTTATTGTTCCAGTGTTACTACAGGAGGAAACCTAAACTAAACTAACTTTATTTATACTGGATAGCTCTATCAGTTCTAAACTTTTCTCTCTAGAGGTCCAGTAAGGATCATCTCTTATTGTTCCAGTGTTACTACAGGAGGAAACCTAAACTAAACTAACTTTATTTATACTGGATAGCTCTATCACTTTTAAACTTTTCTCTCTAGAGGTCCAGTAAGGATTATCTCTTATTGATCCAGTGCTACTGCAAGAGGAAACCTGAACTACATTGCATATATAGCTGTATAAGTTCTCGTCCGTTTCCCTAGAGATCCAACAGAAGTCATCACTTCATAAGTCAGGAGTACCCGGAGAAATCCTCCGGTGTTTGATACAGTCAAGCTGTAAGCACTCTTTGTACATACGACTGAGGCTAAATTATAAATCAGACAACTGTACAATATTGGAACAGAAGATAAAGGCATATACACCACTATGTCACCACCCCAGCATGACCATAGTGTAAACACAAGGGCTAACTCCTACCTCTCTCACAAGTGGATTCCATAGCTTCGCTCCATGATTGGTCAGCTTGACAACTCTTGTACCTAGGCCCTCTCAACTCGTAGCCACTGTTACAGTAGAAGACACATCGCTGACCAAATTCGCTGCCACTTGGATTGCTGGCGCACGATGCAGGCAAGACCCCGCCGTTTGCTGGTGCTTGAACCTTGGGGCAGTATAATGCTATATAAGAAGAGAAAGGAAGCTTAGTTTATATAAATATTTCTGGAAAATGTTTCCTGGTTTGCCCATTTTACCCGGCCTACCTTAAATATTCTATTGTTGAACCGATTTTATTCTGCCTAGCATAACTCGAGACGATATTGGATTAAAGTAAGTTTATTTATACTGGATAGCTTCAACAAGTTCTTAACTGTTCTTCCTAGAGGTCCAGTAAGGATCATCTCTTATTGATCCAGTGTTACTACAGGAGGAAACCTAAAGTCCTAAACTAAACTAAACTTTATCTATACTGGATAGTTCTAACAGTTCTAAACTATTCTTCCTAGAAGTCCAGTAAGGATCTTATTTTATTGATCCAATGTTACTACAGGAGGAAACCTAAACTAAACTAAATTTTATTTATACTGGATAGCTCTATCAGTTCTAAACTGTTCTCCCTGGTGGTCCAGTAAGGATCATCTCTTATTGATCCAGTGTCACTACAGAAGAAAACCAAAACTAAGTTATCTTTATTTATGCTGGATAGCTCTATCAGTTCTAAACTGTTCTTCCTAGAGGTCCTGAGGTCCAGTAAGGATCATTTCTTATTGATCCAGTGTTACTGCAGGAGGAAACCTAAAACTAGCCTAACTTTATTTACACTGGATAGCTCTCCCAATTCTAAACTGTCCGCGATAGGGGTCCGGTAAAAGCCATCGCTCCCAGTCCTCGGAGTTGATCTTCATTTTAAAAACTTACGTTTGCAGTACGGTGATCGTCCAGAGAATGTACCATCAATTTGACAAGTTCTTTGCGTTTGACCACCGGTCAACTGGTAGCCGATTTGACACGAGTATGAACATGCAGTGTCGCGTCGTATATTTGCTCTGTTGTTGTTGCAAATTTCTGGAGTAAGAGTAGCACGGAATGGTTTCACCAAAGCTGGGCAAAGTTTTTCTGAAAAAAAAGGAAGATGTTAGGCTAGGGAGTGATGGTGGTGATAACAGTAGTGGTGGTGGTTGTGATGATGATGGTGGTGGTGGTGATGATGATGGTGATGATGGTAGTGGTGATGATGGTGATGTTGGTGGTGGTGATGATGGTGGTGGTCATGATGGTGGTGGTGATGTTGGTGGTGATGGTACTAGTTGTAAAATGATGGTGGTGGAGGTGATGATGGTGATGGTGATGATGGTGGTGATGATAGATAGATAAACTTTATTTAAACACGCTGGTGATGGGTAGTGATGATGGTGATGATGATGATGGTAGTAATCACGATGGTGATGGCCGTAGTGATGTTGGTGGTAACCTCAATGGTGGTAATAGTTAAGATAAATTTATTTCAATATGGTACTTTACCTTCACATCCATGCAGATCAGCCTTGAGTTTATAACCATTTCTACAACTACACCAATATCCTCCGGCATAGTTATGACACTGGTGTTGACAGTCACCGTTGTCTGTCTGACATTCGTTGATGTCTAAAACACAAGAATCCTGGTTACTAATGAAACGTAGTATATCATGACCAAGTCGGTTTTATTTGATGGCATGTCAACCAGCTCCAAGTCCCACAAGCACAGCAGTTTTTTCATTAAAGTGCGACTAACCCCAAATATGATTTTTGTGTGTGTAATATTTGGTTTATTCTAAGAAGAAATGTCATCTATCTTTATAGTAAAAAACCTCATCTTGATCCAGATATGATGTTATTAGGTGAATTTTTGGTACAAAAAACAAAGGAAAATGACATCATATTCACCTAATGACATCATATCCGCAAACTTTGACAGTGAAAAAGTTGATCAAGATGGGATTTTTTACTATAAAGATATATTACATTTCTTCTTCGAATTACCCAAATATTACACATACCAATTTGTGGTTTGTCGCACTTTAACGAAAACCTGCTAGAAAACCTCTCTAGAGATTCAGTAAGAACCATTCGATATTACTCCATTGCTACTACAGGAGGAAACCAGAGTCCTCGGAGAAATTTTTTGGCGTACGCACCTTTGCAACCAGCTTTGTTTGTGTGAAGCTCGAATCCTTTGCGGCAGTCACAGTTATAACTACCAACAGTGTTCTTGCAGACTTGTTCGCATCCAGCATTGTTGAGACCGCATTCATTGTAGTCTGAAAATTGATATTTTTCATAATATTACTTTTAATATATTGTTATTAACAAAGAATGTAATAAATACATTCAAATGTATCGTACATCACATTTACCTTCGCATTCGGTCTCGGAGTTTTCCTTCAAAGAGAAGCCAGATTTACAGTCACACAATCTTTCCCCAGGGATATTAATACAAGTTTGTTGACATCCACCATTGTTGATGAGACACTCGTTCACATCTATAGAAATTTATATAGCGTATTGTTACTTTATTTGTCCTTGATATCTCTATCAGTTCTAAACTGTTCTTCCTAGAGGTCCAGTAAGGATCATCTCGTATTGACCCGGTGTTACTACAGGAGGAAACCTAAACTAAACTAACTTTATTTATACCGGATAGCTCTATCAGTTCTAAACTGTTTTTCCTAGAGATCCAGCAAGTATCATCTCTGATCGATCCAGTGTTACCAGAGGTGGAAACCTAAACTAAACTAATATTATTGATACTGGATAGCTCTATCAGTTCTTGGCAAATGTTCCTTACCAATACAAGTCTTTTTGTCATAAGCCAGTTTATATCCAATTCCACAAGCACATTGAACCTTTCTTCCACAGCTGTTGTAACATATTTGATCACAGCCGCCATTGTTAAGTAAACATTGATCACTGTAGCCACCTGAAAATAAGACCATACCATATTTATTAACTAAGAACTTTTTTATATAGGATAGCATTACCAGTTCTAAACTGCTCCCTCTGGAGGTACAATATAGTAATGACCATCCTTTTGTTAATCCAGTGTTACCATAAGAAGAAACCTAAACTAAACTAACTTTATTTACACTGGATAGCTATATCAGTTCTAAACTGTTCTTCCTAGAGGTCCAGTAAGGATCATCACTTATTGATTCAGTAATACTACAAAAGGAAAACCTAAACTAAACCAACTTTATTTATACTGGACAGCTCTATCAGTTCTAAACTGTTGACTGTATTCTGAAAGCACTCTCACCACGTGCGACTGAGATTGAATTGCTGTCAAATTTTCAAAACATCTAAAAAACTCACCTAATCTTGAATAAACCAGCACCTCACACATAGTGAGCATACCTCTACCAAACATCTGAACACGGACATAGCGGCCTGGTAACGGAGGCTTACATTGAACACGCACAGCTTCGTTATCACGTGCCTGGCCGACACGATCGTGACACGTCGGGTTATTTTGGTAGTTGCTACTGTCACTACCAATGCGGACATCGAAGTTCTTCAGACGGTCGCCGTACTGGGCACGGTTTAGAATTGTTACATCTGAAGAAGATAAAGAAAGGCGTTTTAGTGAAGTCAGAATGCAAGGATTGGAAAGTCTGTGCATAACAGAACTCGTCATCAATCCTTTTGACGCGGTTTATGCATCAGAATCATCAATGTAACCACAACACCAACATCACCATCATCATCACCATCACAGCAACATCAATTTCAAAAACATCACCACCATCACTACCACCACCATCATCACAACCACCATCATCATCACCAACATCATCATCACACCACCATCACTTTCACCATAATCACTACCACCATGATCATCACCTCCACCACCACATCACCACCACTACCACCATCAACAACATCATCATCACCATCATCATCATCATCACCATCACCATCCTCATCATCACCATCATCACCATCACGAGCAACATCATCACCTGCAAAATCATCACCAGCAACATCATGACCAGCAAAATCATGACCATCACCAACATCACCATCATCACCAACATGCCATCTCACAACCACCATCATCACCAACAGCCATCATCATGCCATCTCAGAAGTCCCAGATAATAAACACCTCCTTCACTTACCAGTGATAACATATTCTTGTAACAGGTCCACCTGCCACCAAGGATCTGTTTCATCATTCGTGTGAGTACAACTCTTCAATGAATACGCCGTACTGAACTTGCCATCTACAGCTCTGCTTGAGAAACCATTGTGAGCTGTGCTAGATTGCTTTGTTGGCCTCTGTTCAGCCAAGTCTAAGATCATAGAAAACAAATATATCAAATATTTCTTTGAAGAAATGATAAACTAGTTAGCATATATAACGTATTGATCCAGTGTATATAAACACGATATCACAGATTAAACTACAATACCGTTGTTACTCTAACAACGACCGTATTGATATACTTGAGCTCAACAGACTTGTTACAAGTTGTTTCAACAACTTGTTATCGTCCTGCAATTCAACAATTTGTGAGTAACAACCTTGTAGCAACTTGATAAAATAACAGCATTGTTACAACTAGCTAGATGACAAGCTTGCTACAAGCCTGCTGCACATACTTTACTTCTTATTTAGTCTACTTACTCTTGCTGAATTTTGAACAGACGGTTGCTAACGATTCATCCCAAACTTCAAATCTTTGATCTAGACGAGCTTGCTCGAAATATGTACACTGTTGAAGTTCGATGTGATTGTCGACTAACAAGAAATATGAAAAGGTATATGTTAGTATAATACAATCTAGAGTTTCTGTGATTACAGTGTAGGAATTTTGTTCAACACTGAGTAGCTCCCTCAAACACTTCTTACAAATTCTTCAAACTTAAAATTTACCGATGCAAAATTCCTACTGTGATCACAGAAACTTTGATAGTGTAAACCAGGTTTTATAAACCAAATCTATTATAGCTCATATCATATCTTTATCAGTTGAAAACCGCGAGGAAGGTGCGAATGGCAGTCTCTTACTTGGCAACCAGGTAAAGATGTATCGTTCTCTGTTGTTCGCTTCGTTATTCTCACACTTGCCACGTAAGACCAAGCGACTGCCGTCAGATGGAACGTCCGCCTTGAAAAAATAAATGCTATGGATAAAACCCTTCTGAAGAACGTGTAATATAAACTAGTTTTGTTGATATCTCTATCAGTTCTAAACTGTTCTTCCTAGGGGTTCATGTAAGAATCATCTCTTATATCTTCCTAGAGGTCCAGTAAGAATCATCCTTGACACGTAGAATCGTGAAAAGATAGAGTTACCACAGTTTTATGGTTATGCAAAGGTTCTGTGTCATTGCTCATTAACACCAATCCATTACTCCAGTGTTACGACGGGAGGAAACCTAAACTAAACTAACTTTATTTATACTGGATAGCTCTCTCAGTTCTAAACTGCAATTCTTCCTAGAGGTCCAGTAAGGATCATCTCTTATTGGTCCAGTAATTTAATTTAATATAATTTAATTTAATTTAATTTAATTTAAACAGTGTTACTACAGGAAGAAACCTAAACTAATCTAACTTTATTTGTACTGGATAACTGTATCAGTTCTAAACTGTTCTTCCTAGAGGTTCAGGTAACACATGCACTAAATACTCTAAATACTGTACTCTCAAACTAACAAATGACACACCTCATCACGTGGCTGGATACATTTTCCACTGCCAAGATGTTTGAGAGAGCCACCTTTAGTGAAACCAAACTTATGTCCATTGCAGTTGTCATAGAGACCCAACTCTACACCATCTGTTATTCTACCACTCACTGGCTTCACGCATTTACCAGACGTATGCAACAGATAACCATCGTCTAGCCCGAATTCAATTCTACACAAAAAATGATAGGTTTGTTTTAGAACAATATGGTTAAATACAGGTGAATTACTTGGTACAATTAATATAACCTCAGGTACTTGACAATCACTCAAACAACCATCATTATTATTTCCATCACGCTCTTCATAACTACCATCATAATCAACACCATTATCACCACCATCACCACCACCATCATCACTATCACCACCACCATCATCATTACCACCACCATCATCACTATCACCACCATCATCACCACCATCATCATCACTACCATCATCACTATCATCACTACCATCATCAACACCACATCATCATCACCAGTAGCACCATCATAACCACCACCATCATCAGACACCACCGTCATCACTACCAGCACCATGAATATCATGACCAGCACCATGACCACCACCATCATCACCACCATCAACACCACCATCATCATCACCACCACCATCATCATCAACCTACTTTGATTCACTGCAAGTGGAATACATGACAAGTCTGGTGCCTTCAGGAACATTCTTTTCTCCACTGTTTGGGTGGATACATTTATAAGACGATGACTGAACAAGAGAACCTGGACCGTAGATTGATGTCTCGCCTATAGCAAGTAATATAAATTCATACAGGGCAAAGGACATTTTTGATCGATTGGCAAAAAACATCATAGATAATAAGACGGACATGAGCTAATCTAACATGATTCATACTGGATAGCCCTTTTCAGCCCAAAATTAGCCCTCTGAGTGTGTCCACAAATCAAAACCAAAACAAAACAAAACTAAACAGAACAAGATCCTACCTGTCATCCAACACAGATCAGTTCGTCTTCGTTTTATCGTTCTCACTTCCAGATCACATTCGAAACGCTGATTGTCAGTTTGTATGTTGCAAGTTGTCTGACGAAGTACCGAACCCACTTTGTCACCATTTGTGTCCACACATAACTTGGAATGAGCACTCTGAAGATAAAAGCAACATCAATAAAAGTTGAATCAAATCTGACTGAATATAAAATTAAATTCAACTGACTTCTTTTATACTGAATAAGTCTAGATTAATTCTAAACCGTTCACCATAGAGGTCTAGTGCGGATGAGCTCTTATTGTTCCAGTATTATTACTGGAGGAAACCGAAGACAAAGACCAGTGGTCTTTCTGTGATCACAGTAGGAATTTTGCAAAGGTAAATTCTATTAAGGATTTATAAGAAATGTTTGAGGGAAGTGAACCAATGTTAAGTACCGCGTCAGTTTCCTCAAACATTTCTTAAAACGTTATGATGGTTTTAGTGACATTTATTAAAAACTTCATACTTCCCAATACATACGAGCACAGATCTAGCTCGGACACTCACCACTAGCAATCCTTTCAGGTTGTATGAGAACATCTGTCTCTCATCATTTTCATTACAAGCAGTCAGACGCAGTACTGCCCCCTTGGTCTTGGACGGTGTATAGAGACATGCTCCTGATCTTGCCTCATCTTCTGTTCCTGATTGAGTGTTCTCTATCATGAATTGATCTAGAGTGGGAAAGGTTTGGATTTATACAGTTTGAAGAAAGATAATTACCAGCATCATCATTATCATCATCATCACCATCATTAAGATTATCACCACCATCATCACCAACACCAATCATCATCACCATTATTATCATCATCACCACCACTATCACCACCTATACCAGCATCATCATCACAACCACCATCATCACCATAACCATAATCATCACGATCAACATCACCACCATCTTCACATTGTCATTACTATCACAACCATCATCACCACAACCACCACCACCATCATCATCACCATCCCACCACGACCATCATCCCACCACCACCATCACCATCCCACCATCACCATCACCAACACTCACCAGATAGTTCAAAATCTGAGAACGGATTAGGATCATCGTAAACTTTTTCATCTGTAGATGACTTCGACTTAGGATTTGCTTTATTCTAGAGAGATAGATCAGTTTAATAAGTTAGCTTACAGCAATAATATTCCGCAATTGAATAAGTCACGGACTGTTTGGGTATATTCAGATATTGACAGAACCTTGTAGTCATCGAGGGCTTTAGTCGACGTTTCCTTGACGGCTGCTGAAGGGTTTCGGAGATTAATGTTGACATTAAGATTAAGACGTTTGCCAAATATCGTAAAGTCCACGGCAGCTGCGAAGGTAATTCGTCCACCCACGGTGTTATCAATGCCGAATTCAAATTTGATACTAGAAAAAGAAATTGTTATTTGTGAACTTCCAAGACTAGGATTAAGCATATTATCATACAGTTGCTTGGTTGACTTGCTGGCATGTTGGTTACACACGTAAAAACGCACAAATTGTAATAAACCTGCAGCAGACTTGTGACAACGCTGTTCCAACAACTTGTCAACAGGATGTATTCGCACTGCTTGTTCCCAGCTTGTTGACAAGTTGTCAACGGCTTTTTGACAATTTGCTACAAGGTTGTTGAGCTCAGCAGACTTGCTACAAGATGTTCAAACAACTTGTTGTCGTCCTGCAATTCAACAATTCGTCAACAAGTTGTGAATGACAACCTTGTAGCGACTTCATGAAATAACAGCATTGCTACAACTTGTTGACAAGCTTGGTAAGAGCCTGTTGTGAACACATTTTGTGACAAGTTGTGAGATTTTTATGTGTGTAGCTTGTTGACTAATTTGTTGAAACTGGCAAGCTCACTGCGAGTGCATCTGATCAATACTACATACCTGTGAATTCTGAACAGCTGCGTAAGAACAAACTGAATAGCAGCGCTGATCCAGCCGCATGCCAATTCCACAGCTTTCAAAGCTATTACAGCGACATCCAAAATATGACATAAACCTTTACCAATGAACTCCACAGCACGACACGAACCTTCGCACAGTACTGAAACAGCTGTGAAGAAAATATCGCACACTCATTAATCATTCATGAGTAAAATAGCCAACCATGTTAGTTTATTTTGCTCACACCAGGATACTGGATGCCTGGCGAAGTATGTTGATCCAATCTTGGATCACAATTAATTCAGTCCTTGGAGTGGATCAAAATTAATTCACCTCATTTTAAGTAGTGATTTATGCGTATGAGATTTCATATCGAATCCGGCTGTGAGACTTTACCAGATATCCAGTCAGCGCAATTACTTAAAAATAGAATAGACGGCAACTGTTCATTGCCACAATCCCTAAACATATACCCGTGCATCTTCCCCCGACAATCCCTAAACATACCCGTGCATCCTCTCCCGACAATCCCTAAATATACCTGTGCATCCTCCACCAACAATGCCTTCACAAATGATTTTACTGATAAAACGACGACGTCTGATGTGCTGTTCAAACAGTTCGTTTCTCATTCTCTCAATTTCACGTTTTCTCTTCCAGCCACTGAATATCTTCTTGAAGAAACGTCCCACCTAAAAAATGGAAATATTGAAATGGTTTACCTGGTTTATATAATGGTAATAATCATGTTACTTGACACTAAAATAGCTATATGCATATATACGGAATAGCAAATTACTATTTTTTATAAACTCGCGTATGATATGTTATTTACCGGAGCAAGAGCTTTCCCAATTGTTTTTGCTGTATTCTTCACCCAGTTTCCTGAAAGAAGCAAAGACACGATCCACTCTGTTAAACTTCTTCCATTCTATTGTTACAACAACGCTGTAATAACATTTTCCAAACCTTTTTTTGGATAAGAGGGGTTTAAAAATAAGTTTTTCAGAATTTTTTTCGACCTAAATTTTTCACAATATTCCTTACAATCTAACACTGACAAACAAACAAACAAACAAACAAACAAACAAACAAACAAACAAACAAACAAACAAACAAACAAACAAACAAACAAACAAACAAACAAACAAACAAACAAACAAACAAACAAACAAACAAACAAACAAACAAACAAACTGACACACGAAGCACTATACGTACCTACGGCGTTAATAGCTCCTCCAATCCACTTGCCGGCCTTGTCCAAAAATCCTTTACAGTCATTCTCAGCTTTCTTGCATTTCAAATCCCGACATCGATCACATTTCAACGACATCTTTCTCTTACATTCCTCTTTCTTCCGTTTCACATGATCCTGAGCACCTCTCAATTTTCTTTGCGCCTCGTCGAACGCCCCCTTCACTGCCGAGGCTGCTTGATCCAAGGCCTGTTGATTGTATTGATTATATTGGTTACATAATCATGGGATTCATTACCAATACACAATGTAATGATAATCTATCTAGTATATATTGATTATATTGGTGATTATTAGACTACATAATCATAGTATTGATTGCCAATGCACAATGTAATGATCATCTACTGAGTATATGTTGATTATATTGGTGATTATTATAAATTACATAATCATGGTATTGATTACCAATACACAATGTAATAAACATCGAGTATATGTTGATTATATTGGTGATTATTTATATATTACACAATCATGGCATTGATTACTAATAGTCGTCTATCAAATATATGTTGATAATATTGGTAATTATTATAGATTACATAATCATGGTATTGATTACCAACATACGACACATCGATTATTTATCGACTTTATGTTGATTGTATTGATTATTTTAACTGATTACTTATCTTAACAAAAATATAAGCTTACTTTATTTAACCCAGAAAGGTCCACCGTAACTTTAGCATAGAACTTGAGAAGTGAAAACACGGGAGCATAATTGGCAGCTACGTAAACCTCAGCTTTAATGAGATTCAGGAAGTTTCCTTGGACAAGAAGCTGGAATTCGGTCATTGTGAGATTCATATTGGCGTAGGCTGAAATACCAAGGACGCTGACGAAGCCTTCAAAACGACACTGGTAGAAAATAAAGATAAAGTCCTCACTTAGTTCAAATGGATGTTTAGAGATGGCACATTCTAGAGCTTTTGACAAATTAACACAATTTTGAAAATTTAGACATTTTCTCTTGTCACTCTTAAGGCCCAGACACACCGGACGCGTTTCATTAACGCGGCGCCATTTTTCCATTTTCACTGACCGATAACTTTGATCCTGGTTAAAGTTTTTCAAATATGTAGAAGCGCTATAACATTTTAAGTTATTTGGTCTACATATCTTCTAAAATTTCCTTTCATTGGCTGTTTTATTAACTTTCAAAAACTGAAAAATCGCGCGTTGTCAAATCGCGTCCGATTTGTCTCGGCCTTCAGGAAACAAAAAACTGTGTTTATGTTAGTTTTTGGTATCTTCAACACATATGACAAAACACAAGACTTTTTGCTTTCTTACACGAGCACTATTATATCAAATTTGCTTGCTTAAAAGCTCGTTATTATGGCTATAGGCTTTCACAACACCGTTCATCAATCAACTTTCGATGTTACTGTTGGTGTGTTATCATCATCGCTGTTGTTGTTGTTGTTGCTGTTGTTGTTGTTGTTGTTGTTGTTGTTGTTGTTGTTGTTGTTGTTGTTGTTGTTGTTGTTGTTGATGATGATGTGTTGTTGTTGATGTTCCTGTCGCAGTTTTTGTGAAATTGTCCTTGTTTGCTAGTAATGTGTTTCAATAAGATTAATTAGGACGAATGTAGTAATTTTTGTCACTGAAAAGTCCCTTCAGGGGAGTGTCAATACTGTCAATAAAACAATAAACTTACATTGACATAGAATGGTTTTTTTCTGTATTCCAAAAAGAAGAGGGGCCCCAGGTCTTTCTTGGTAGGACTTCGTGATAATGTCAGTATACCTTGCCAGTCGATTGGATCAAATTTGAGATCAGCCAAAATGTACTGCAACAAAGACGATTGTTGGGTCGTTAAAATATCCTAAACTAACTGCTATCAGTTCTACAGTGTTCCTCTTATTGATTCAGTGTTATTGCTTCTAGGAAACCTAAACTAAACTAACTTTATTTATACTAGCTCTGTCAGTTCTAAACTGTTCTTCCTAGAGGTTCAGTAAGGATCATCTCTTATTGATCCAGTGTTACTACAGGAGGAAACCTAAACTAAACTAATTTTATTTATACTGGATAGCTCTATCAGTTCTGAACTGTTCTTCCTAGAGGTTCAGTAAGGATCATCTCTTATTAATCCAGTGTTACTACAGGAGGAAACCTAAACTAAACTAATTTTATTTATACTGGATAGCTCTATCAGTTCTGAACTGTTTTTCCTAGAGGTCCAGTAAGAACCATCTCTTATTGATCCAGTGTTACTACAGGAGGAAACCATACACTTGTACACTTGTACTGGATAGCTCTAAATTGTTCTCCAGAAAAAGGCAGCAATTGTCATCTCCTACCGGTCTAGTACAACTACAGAATCAACATACATCAGCAATAAGATGAATGTTTACTTACATCCTCACTGACTATGATCTTGGCATCAATGGTATAACCCAGAATTTGGACAGCACCATCAAACGTGATTCCTTTAATAATATTAGGACCTTTGAAGAATCTCAAGTCTACTGCCTCACTGGCATACGAGAACTGTAGAAAGAAAATATTATCAAGTAATTAATCAAATGATTATTTAATTAATTAAATTTTAATTGATATAGAAACCAAGCATGGGTATTTGTCTAATTCGTACAACCAGCATTGATCAATTAATTATCAATCAATTAAATATTTTGAATTTGAAATTTCGAAATTGAAATCTATTTTCAGGTGAAATATATTCTTAAATTGAATACCATTTTCAAATTTCAATTTGAAATTTTAATTTGAAATTTATATTGCAATACATACTCGAATTGAAATTTATTTTCAAAATTTTTAAAAGTCTATTCTCAAATTAAATGAAATTTATTTTCAAATTGAAATTTGTTTTCAAATTTATTTTCAAATTAATCCACTAATTAATTAGTCAGTCAATAAATCAATCATTTAATTAATTAATCAATCAATCCACCAATTAATTAGTCAGTCAATTAATCAATAATTTAATTAGCTAACCGATCAGTCCACTAATTAATTAATCAATCAGTCAATTAATCAATCACTTAATTAGCTAACCAATCAATCCCCTAATTAATTAATCAGTCAATTAATCAATCATTTAATTAACTAATCAATCAATCCACTAATTAATTAATCAGTCAATTAATCAATCACTTAATTAACTAACCGATCAGCCCACTAATTAATTAATCAATCAGTCAATTAATCAATCACTGAATTAGCTAACCAATCAATCCCCTAATTAATTAATTAATCAATCAATTAATCAACCAATAAATCAGATAATCAATCAATCAGTCAATTAGATAATCAACAATTGATCACTCAATAAATATTTAAATTCTTTAATGACTTAGATACTTCATGTAATTTACATTAATGTGGTTTGTTTGTGCACCCCACAAACAATGTTTCTCGGGCATGCGCAGATTCGACTGGATATCATGTTTAACACTTACCGTAACACCACGTGGGAAGCCAGTGTCTTCAATGGGAGGTGGCAGTTTAAGGTTTGGTGAAACCAGACGGAAGATCTTCCCAATGGTGATGGCTGCGATTTTGAAATAGACGAAACTAGGATCTCCTATGCCAAAGTACGCCTGCGCATAAAAGCAATGACCCTGTAGAAAGAATTAGCAAAATATTAAATTGTTGGCGGCTTTCAATGTCGTGCAGCAGATGGGGTCGACTGGCAGTTCTCAGAGTCAGAGATTCCAACCTCTATAATATTAGATAGATGGCCGTCTTATGGAGTTCTTTTGAAAAGAGAATATATGAAAACTAACACAGGAACACTATCCGTATTAGAAAAGAATCTGAATGGGAGTGGTTTTTGATATAAGAGACGCTAGCATATTACAGAGCGGCTTGAATAACAGAAGTATCCGTATTAGAGATGCATTCATATTAGAGATGTATTCATATTAGAAAGATATCTGTATTAGAAAGGTGCCCTTTCCTATAGAGGTACCTGTATTATAAAACGTTTCCGTATTAGAGAAGTGTCCGTATTGGAAAGGTATCTGTACTGCGTATCTGTATCAAATTACTAGAACCTGCCAATTGATGAGCAACTCTAACTGATGTTTCAATTTATTTAGCTACATACTTACATCATTTGAGAAGTCTGCAGCTGTCCAGCAATCTACTCCAAGCTGAACTTTTCCTCCAAAATAACCTCCAGTCGGATACGGTGCACCAATCACCCATTTTATTCTACAAGAAAATTTGAACGTTAATGATATCAGCTTTTCGGCAAAGAACTTTCTATTGTACTACCTACACTGGACCACCACGTTTGAGATATCTTTTTCAAGTAGTTCAGATACAAACCACGACTGCTTATTGTAGAATACTACCTACACTGGACCATCACGTTTGAGATATCTTTTTCAGGTAGTTCAAACACAAACCACGGCAGCTTATTGTAGAATACTACCTACACTGGACCACCACATTTGAGATATACTTACCCAAGCACAATCTCGCCAATTGCCAACCACTTGATACCAAATGCCTGTCTCCACAGTCCAGACATATACAGTGCACCGCCAATAGTGTTCTTCGTTATTTCCCACTCTATAATCCCTCCTACATGTATTGCTGGCGCTGGGCTCTTGATTCCATCACGATCAACCACGATCCCTTTGTTGACTGCAATTTTCACCTCAACCTGAAAACCAAGCTTGAAAAGATTTGTCGAGCCGTTTTTCTTTGCCTGGAAATAGAAAATTAGATATATATGGAAATATTTCACTCCCCGTATTTCAATAGGAATAGATCATGTGATGCATGCTTTTAATTGTGGGACTTGCATGAAATATTCTGATATTGCACAGTGACAAAACTCACTGCTGAGTTAAGCATGGTTAGATCATACAGAGGTAGTACATGTTCTTGAATGTGAGCTGCCTTATTAAAGCGACCTGATGTTGTACATAAGCATGGCTAGATCATACAGAGGTAGTACATATTCTTAAATGTGGGCTAGCGTAAAGTGATGTGATGTTGTACAGAACTCACTGCTGAGTTAAGCATGGTTAGATTATACAGAGGTAGTACATATTCTTAAATGTGGGCTACCTTAACGTGATGTGATGTTTTACAAAACGCGTTGCTGAATTAAGCATGGCTGATCATACAGAGGTAGTACATGTTCTTGAATGTGGGCTACCTTAAAGTGATCTGATGTTGTACAGAACTCATTGCTGAGTTAATCATGGCTAAGATGGTCACCTACCTCAACAAAGAGCTGTACTTTTGAGAAGCTTATATCATCAGTCAGCTTGATATCTCTGAAGCCAGCCGTAACTTTAATACTCTCCTTCTGAATATGTCCCGTGAGTATGAACGCGATATCAGGCCCTAGGAGATCCTTGCATCCGGTGCAGAAGCCATTGCCTTTGCAATCCTTGGGAAGTGAGACGCGAGCGGCAATGAAGAGGTCCTGTGGGATGGCGTTTGCAATCAGGCTGTGTAAAGGTTGCTTGGCGTAGTTCACCTCTGGGGTGACTTTGATCACACCTTGTGCGGCCGGAGCATAGCTGACACCAATCTAGAATGAGGGGGAGGTTAGTTAGGTGGAGGTAGGGGTGAGAGGGGAGAAGAGAGAGGGGAGAAGAGAGAGGGAAGAAAAGAGAGGGGAGAAGAGAGAGGGGAGAAGAGGGAGGGGAGAAGAGAGGGGAGAAGAGAGAGGGGAGAAGAGAGAGGGGAGATGAGAGAGGGGGAAGGAGAGAGAGGGAAAGAAAGGGAGAAAGGAAGATATGAAGGTATGTGGGTGGGGTAAGCGGGTAGGTAAATAGGTAAATAGGTGAGTAGGTAGGGTAGGTGGTTGGGTCAGGTAGGTGGGTAGACAGGTGGGAAGATGAGAAGAACAAAGGAAGGAAAATGGAGATCAAAGGATAAACTAGGAAACACTAAAATGAGTGAGAAAAGAATGAGAAAGGTGGAACAGAATAAGAAAGGAATAGGATAAAATTTTTTCAAAGTTGAAACAAAACAACTGGACATCAATAACGAAACACTACACACAAAATGTTTCGATGAAGCTAAGAAAGAAGCAAAGACGAAAATAAGGAATGCAAGAAAGAAACTAATCTATAAATCAAAGAACGAATGAAATAGTAAAAACAGGAAAACTGCAAAATAAAATATATTGGGAAAAGTATCAAAACTCACTTGTAGATCAATGCCCAAGACATCCAAGAATGATATTCCATATCCAGACAAACGCTTCGACAGCGCACCAAACGATTCCCCGTCAAATGAGAAACCAATGGCAAATATTCGGACTCCTTTGTTGGGGTTAGTCAAGATTTCAACATGAACTGGGACTCCGAAAATATTGAGCGAGCCGGTAACACGGAATGTACTTAATGTTTTCATGCTGTACGCAAATGAAGCTGGTGATAGCTTGATGTTCAAAAGGCCTGCAGCTCTGAAATATAAGAAAACACGTTTTAGGTAAAGATAGTGGTTGCTAAGGCCTGGTTTCCATATGGTCGTAAAGATTGAGTCACGATCTTTCTCATCAGTCGAAATAAACACTTTAGAATATTCCTTTCTTATTCTGTTCTACCTTTTTCATTCTTTTCTTACTCATTTTAGTGTTTCCTAGTTTATCCTTTGATCTCTATTTTCCTTCCTTTGTTCTTCTCATCTTCCCACCTACCTACCCACCAACCCTACCTACTCACCTATCTACCCACCCACTTACCCCACCCACATACCTTCATATCTTCCTTCCTCTCTAAATACGCGTAGTGATTAGAACTAGAGAATACTTATGATTTATATGTGGTTTGCAGGTCTAAACTATTATAAACTGGCTGTTGAGAAAGATCGTGACTCTATTTTTATGACCATTACGACCATATGGAAACCAGGCTTAAGGATCAATCACTTTCAATCAATCAATCAATCAATCAATCAATATATTTGTCACTATTACCACTATTCCATTTACAAGAGATAGATTAAACGGAAAAAATAAATAAAAGAATGATTATAAATAGATAAGTCAGGTGATAATGACAAGAAGGCATCCAGAAACCATAAGGCTTGTAAAGGGATGTCTCCTTGAGCATAAAATTTAGATACAACAAAAATTCACATTTACGTAAACACTGCTAACCCCAAGAGGGGAATCGATTCACCTCCAAAGACCATCAATAAACATGAAAATAAATTTATAACTCATACAGCCAGGTGATCTCGTGTTCGTATTTTAGCCAATCAGCGCTCAGAAAGGGTTGTCCGAATAGAAATCCATTTTGATGTATTCAGTCAATTATATCTTTCATTATTGTTTATGAAACTAGTTGAAATTTTGCAATTATGTTTGGTTATGAGAACTATAGCTCTGACAAAAATATGGAATCGAAATGAAGTATATTACAGGAGATATTCAGTTGTTTTAATCATAAGATGGATTTCTATTTGACAACTAGTGCCAGTACTTTTCCGCGTATCAAGATCACCTGGAGAGGGTGCCTCTGGCAGCCACTCTATGATTCGTGACTGATCATGGAGCACAGATACGGTGGAAGGGTTAACCCAGTCAACCTACAACATTCGGTGGAGCGTTGACTGACTCTTTTCACACGAGTCCCCAGCGAGAATCGAACCCACGACCTCAGACGTGAAAGGCGCTTGCTCTAATGACTGCGCGACTCTAGCCCCCATATAGTCATATTGATCCTTTCTGAGACTTTCTGACTTTCCAGTCCGTACGGCGGTCTATATCGGTCATACATAACAGTACAAACGATGCTGACATTAACGATAGACACACCAGGGATAGACACACCAAGTAAAATATATACAGTGAAAAATTGACCGGCACTCGTAGTGTTGTGGTCACCACGCTTGTCTTTGAAGCTGGGAGATCAGGGTTCAATCCCAAGGGTGGGTTGACTACAACATTTTTGTAGTTCGCTAGCTATATAACTACAGCAGTACAGCACAGCTACTTCAAAAATATGTAGTCAGCTACAACTACTGCTACTTTTGAACAAAGGTAGTTCGCTACTGACTACAGCTACTGCTTAAAAAATGTAGCGAACTATTTCGCTACACTATATTTTTTAGTTTTACTATATTTGGAGCATCTACTAACTCAGGCTGTAATGTAATCTATGGCCATCTATAACAAATCGACTTACGAGTAGCAACAGTAAACACAAAGCAACATTTTTGTAAGCACTACAGTGTTCAGGAGTGCAAATTGACTATTGAGTATCGATTTTAAGCAAACCGTGTCTCAATATCATGCTATTCCATCAAGTTGCTAACAATTTTAAAAAGTAGCGAATAGCGATTCGCTGTTTGAAAAATAGTCAACTACTTGGCTACTTTTTGGCAACATGTAGTTCGCTATAAGGCCCTATAACTACAACTACTGTTTTAAAAAAGTAGTCAAAAACTACTGGCTACTTGAAAATTGTAGTTCGCTACAGTAGCGAACTACAACTACTTCGCTACTACCCACCCTTGGTCAGACCTCTACTCAAGGTCGTAACAGAATTGAGAGGAAAGTGAGACCTTTACACTGACATCAGTAAATAAATGGTTAGACTTTCGCGTCGTCTCGGATAAGGACGTAGGTACCTCGGATCCCATATCAATTGGGCAATAGCCTGTTGGAAAATCTGCTCACCAATGAGTGAGAAACTCATTAAACTCAATACACCTTTCCCCTTTTGAGTGAAATTTTGATCTAGACAAGTCTGGACAAAAATTTCATCACAGCTTGAAAGAGCATCACAAAATTAGTAATATTCCGAAGTTTCGTTGCGAAATGTTATATACCCTTGCGAAGTTTGCCGTTTTTCAGTCATTTTGCATTACGCGCGGGAAATTGATAATCAGATGATCAAACTGATTACCAATTTCCCATTTGTAATCTAAAATGACTGAAAAACGGCAAACTTCGCAAGGCTATATTATCCGCATCTTACAACATTTCGCAACGAAACTTCGGAATATTACTAATTTTGTGATGCTCTTTCAAGCTGTGATGAAATTGTTGTCCAGGCTTGTCTAGATCAAAATTTCACTCAAAAGGGGAAAGGTCTATTAAACTCAAAATAATAAGGGACAGAACCACACCGTTCTTTCAACTTACTTCAACGCTCCCTGAATTGATTGGGGATATTGGTAGACTGGGAATCCAGCGAGGTCAGAAAGTTCATTAATTGCAAGAGTTGCACCATGTCCTGTGGCCTCGAGCTGGCCAGTTATCTGGGTGACTTTACTGTAGAATGGTGTATTTTCAATACGTGTCAGGATACCTTTGGCTTGGAATGAATAGCGTATACCCTCGGTGTAAAACGAAAACCTTAGAAAACAATTAAAATTTAAGTGAGAAATTAAATTGGCATTCCAGTTCAGATGTACAGTATGTGAAGGTCAGTTTACATTATCAAAGTTTCTGTGAAATTCGTAATGATTGGAAAGGTTTTCAAAAAATGTTTGAGGGAAACTGACTTAGTGTTTAACACGAAGTCAGTTCCTTCAAACATTTCTTACAGATTCTTCAAAACTTGGAATTTACTCATGCAAAATTTCTACTGTGATCACAAACATTAAAGCCCTGGGCAAACCAGGAAACATTGTTGTGGAAACATTTGTGATTCTCGCAGGGCATTTTTTAAGAATTCGTCAGTGGGGGGGCCATCTACAAAAAGGGACCATACTATACCGAGTGTGGAGCAATCATAGATGGTTTGTTGGTAACAAAAAGTTTGGTGTGGTATCGCATTTAATAGTAGGGGGGAAGAGCAGGGCCGTAGGAAGCTCTTTTCGTTTGGGGGGGGGGGGCTGAAAGCGAGGGCCGAAGGCCCGAGGAAATTTTTAAATTTAGAGTCTCTGAAATGCCATTTCCTGGACTTTGGGGAAGATTTGACAGATTTCTGGTTGTCAGAAAACAGCGTTTTTAGTATGTGGAAATTTAGAATTCAGTAGTACTAAATGGACGAAGGTGTATTTAATTAACGATATATTGGATAAGTTGCAAGAAAGTATGGGTAATATCTTCATTCTTTGCAGTTTGTCATGGATTAAATAATAAAGGTCTGCATGATTTTGAAAAATGGATGACCCTACGACCCTGGAGAGGGTCTGGGGTTTTCTCCCCAGAAAATTTTTGTATTTTTCTACCCCTATCACTGCAATTCCCTGCATTTTCTGAAACAGATTTTTGGATATACAGCATTACATTATGCTGTAGATAGACTGACCTTCAGTTAAGTACTTTGCATAGTATGTTTATGTAGATACCACAACTTGGCCGTCACTTAGGGAGCCAGCTTGATAAACTTAGAGTTCCCGACTCCCACGAAGCGCCACCATGGTTGGCACAGAGCGGAAAAATTTTGAACATTTTGCGTCTCTAAAGCATCGGAAATGGCATTTTCAAAGTTTTCTATACGTCTTTTGTTTGGCCCTTTCATTAATTCGTTCATTATGATTTGTGAGTCTATGATATCCGCGAGTCAGGATGGATTATTACGAGAAATGTTATCAAAATATCGATTACAGATATTTGATTATATGTATATATGATTTCAAATACTTCTAGTTTCGAAATCAAATTGGTTTTTTTTGGTGGGGGGGGCCAAAATTATCCCCCCCCCTTATAAAACACTTGGTTGAGGGCCTGTTGCCCCCTGCGGTCACTAACTTGTCCAACAACTCAAATCTATAGGGTCTGGGAAATGCAATCCACTGCCTGGGAAATGTTTAAAATCTAATAAGGTATTTATTAAACATAAAAGACAGGACATAAGATTCACAAAGCAAATTTCAGTTACTAGAATATCAAACCTCCCTTCTAAATTCCATGTTTTGCTTATATTTTAGAGAAAAGGGACTTTGACTGGGGGGGCCAAAATGGTTGAGTGGGGGTGCCACCATGGGGGCTGGGGGGGCTTTGGCCCCCCCAGTTATATAGTTAAAAAATGCCCTGGATTCTCGATGTTTCCTCGAATGTTTTTCCTGTTTACTCACCCGTGGAAACATTGTTGCGGAAACAAAATTTGCTTCCCGAGAAGCAAAAATGTTTCCTAGGAAGTTCAGAAACATTTGATGTTTCCCTATGTTTCTCACTAATGTTTCCTAGTTATTTTTTTCTGTGTTGGTGTAATGTACTTATTATGCCTGTGATGTTACTCTGAGTGTATATCCACACCGGGCAAACTTGAAAAATATGCCTGGCCACGGTGGAAAACGAACCTACGACCTTTGGACTACCAGCCCAATGCTCTGGCATATTTTTCAAGCTTGCCCGGTGTGGATATATACTCAGAGTAACATCACAAGCATCATAATGTTTCCTAGTGTTTGCCCACTCTGGGAAACATGGCGAAACATTGGTAGGAAACAATGTTTCCGCAACAATATTTCCTAGTTTGCCCAGGGCTTAACTATAACAGGCATGAAAAAAAACACATTTCTTTGACCATTGTGACAAAACAGAAATGTTCTGCTAATATTCCGGCATGTGACTAAAGGAGGTTTCCTACTTACAAAACATTAACCAAGGTGAAGCCAGTGACTGGAGTATATTCTTTAGCAATGTGGCAGACAAACTCGATGTTCTTTGCAGCAATATTTTTGTCCACTGTGATTGAGATTCCAGGGACATTCTCTGTTTCTGCCGGGCGGTCGAAGGATGGTAGAAGTGGCGCTACTTTGTATAGTTTCACTTTGACCACCACTTGGCTGATGAGCAGAGTGTCTTGAGGTTCAAAACAATACTAGGAGAGAAATGAAAGAGATGGTGATGGTGGTGGCGGTTGGGATGATGATGGTGATTTTGATGGTGGTGAAGATGACGATGGTGTTAATGGTGGAATTAACGATGGGGTAATAATTATGGTGGTAATGTTGATGATGATGGTGGTGATTATGGTGATGATGGTGGTGATGATGGTGGTGATGATGGTGGTGATGATGGTGATGATGGTGGTGATGATGGTGGTGATGATGGTGATGATGGTGATGATGATGGTGATGATGGTGGTGGTGATGATGGTGATGATGGTGGTGATGATGGTGGTGATGATGGTGGTGATGATGGTGATAATGTTGATGGTGGTGATAATAGTTATGATGATGGTGGTGGTGATGTTGATGGTGGAATTAATGATGGGCTAGTAATGATGGTGATGTTGATTGATGGAGGTGATAATTATGGAGATGATGGTGTTACTGATAATGACAGTGTTGGTAGTGTTAATGGTGGTGATGATGATAATGATGGCGATAATGGAATGGTGGTATTGATGATGGTGGCGATGTAGGTGACGATGGTGGTGAGTAATGGTCTATTTGAACAGACAGCACTGTCATAACAAACCTTGGTATCGTCACCATCGACTTTCTTAGCAAAATATCCACTTCTCAAAATGTTAGCAAAGTCCTTAAAGTCATCATTCAAGATCTTAGCTGGTAGTAAATGACCAAATGATCCCAATACTGCATACTTCTTCGTTGTTTCGCATTCCAGTCCGATATAAGATTCATAGCGGTCAGTATCAGCTTCGTCCGGTAGCACTTTACTTGGGTCTAACAAGAAACATTATGTTTAAAAGAAGGTTCTGAATTAAATAAACTTTATTTACACTGGTTAGCCGTGTCAGTTCTGTTGAAACGTTTCTGCACAGACAATCAGTAAGAGTCAGCTTTTATTGATCCAGTGTTACACAGGAGGAAACCAGAGTATCTAGAAAAACCTGTGTTGTTTGGTAAACTTTATTTATACTGGATAGCTCTATCCAGCATAAGTAGGTCCAGTAAGGATCATCTCTTATTGATCGAGTGTTACTACAGGAGGAAACCTAAACTAAACTAACTTTATTCATACTGGATAGTTCTATCAGTTCTAAACTGTTTTTCCTAGAGGTCCAGTAAGGATCATCTCTTATTGATCCAGTGTTACCACAGGAGGAAACCTAAACTAAACACTAACTTTATTTATACTGGATATCTCTATCAGTTCTAAATTGTTCTCCATAGAGGTCCAGTAAGGATCATCTCTTATTGATCCAGTGTTACTACAGGAGGAAACCAAACAAGAATCAAACACTGGTTACAGAGGTGACTGGTTACGTCAGCTAGTTTCCTGTCCATGAATTTTATTATCCATGGTGACACCAACAATCCTAGGCACAAACCTTACCAGCACAGTTATCAGCAGGCGACGGACACTGTTGGGTCTCCACAGCAAGCCCCAGGCAATCGTCACCATTACCCAAAGGAGGTGGATTGTTACATTGTCTTGTTCGATTCTGGAGACCTTTATAACAATAGCGAGGCTCGGTACACGGTGTCAATGAACTCCACGGTCCCCATCCACCAGCACGGTCACCTAAGGGAGAGAAATACATCTATTATATTAAAATTGTTTATACTGGATAGCTCTATCAGTTCTAAACTGTTCTTCCTAGAGGTCCAGTAAGGATCATCTCTTATTGATCCAGTGTTGTTACTACAGGAGGAAACCTAAACTGAACTAACTTTATTTATACTGCATAGATCTATCAGTTCTAAACTGTTTTTCCTAGAGGTCTACACTGTAGTAAGGGACATCTCTTATTGATCCTGTGTTACTACAGGAGGAAACCTAAACTAAACTAACTTTGTTTATACTGGATAGCTCTATCAGTTCTAAACTGTTCTCCCTAGAGGTCCAGTAAGGATCATCTCTTATTGATCCAGTATTACTACAGGAGGTAACCTAAACTAAACTAACTTTATTTGTACTGGATAGCTCTATCAGTTCTAAACTGTTCTTCCTAGAGATCCAGTAAGGGTCATCTCTTATTGATCCAGTGTCCGATCCTGTAGTAAGGGACATCTCTTATCGTTACTACAGGTTAGTAGCATCTCTTATCGTTACTACAGTGTTACTACAATGTAACTTCAGGAGGAAACCTGCTCTATCAGTTCCATTGTAAACTGTTTTCCTTAGAAGTTCAAAAAGAGTTATCCCTTAATGATGCTATTTGACCAATGTCTAACTACAGGAGGCAGTTTGAACTAGTTAGATGTTTAAAAGCTATCGTGGAACGCAGCTATAAAAAACTGAACTCAATATACATACCTGGACAGTCTCTGTCTTTACATGCTTGTATCTGATATACATCACCATCACAGTTGCGACCACCATGATTTGGGAAAGGTGAATTACATTGTCGACTTCGGTCTTGTATACCACGATTACATGTCTTCGAACAAGGAGACCATTTTGTCCAGGCACTGAGCCCACCGTCAACTATATGACAACAAAAGACGTTGCTAAATATACTATGTGGTAGTTGGTATGACTATCTCGTTGGTATTGTGGTATTCCAGAGTGAACCCTTGGTCAAACGAAGATGAGTTGATGAGAGTTGCAACTCTCGCTCGTGTTTGACCGGCAACTCTCATCGACTCTCATCAAGTTTGAACTGGTCCAGTAATAACCAACTCTCATGCAACCCTTGTTCTCGTTTGACCGGGGCATGAGAGTTGAGAAAACTCTCATGCAAACTCTCACTTCTCAACTCTCATCAAATCTCATGCAACTCTTATTCTCGTTTGACCGGGGCATGAGAGTTGAGAAAACTTCCATGCAAACTCTCGCTTCTCAACTCTCATCAATTTACTCTCATTTGACCGAGGCATGAGAGTTGAGAAAATTGTCATGAAAACTCTCGCTTTTCAACTCTCATCAACTTTAAGTTTAGAATTACAGTACACTAACACTACATAATCCCAACTCGGATTAATTATGCTCGGCAAAAAATCTACCATACTTGGGACAGATTTAGTATCGCTCCTCTCACATGCGACTGAGGGAACATTTAATCAGGTACAAGAGGTAAAAGAGAAAACCAATCTAGCATACATGTACCTGGACACGGTTCAAAACAACTCAAGACTTCTTCAGTAGCGTTTCCATTACATGCTTTCCCGCCATTCTGGGGAGGTGGGGAATTACATCGCCTTGTTCTGGTTATCACGACCCCGGGGGAGAGACCGCAAGGTTTGGGACAGTGTGACCAGTGTGACCATGGTCCCCATCCTCCATCTTGTGGGCCAGCTGAAAATAATGAGATGTGGGTGTTTAGTGATGGTAAAAATAAATACCATGCTGTGATGTACCATTCCATACCATACATGCATTACCATACTATATATTAGTGTTCTACACCAACTTATACCATACTATACCATACCATACCATACATTCTCAAATTCATTAATAATTCATGAGCAATTCAGCCAATGATAATCACCTATTTGACCACAAGATGCCATTTGGATACTTGATGAAAGTCACTAGTGTTTTCATCAAATATCTTAATTACGCATGCAAAATTACTTGAATATAATTCCTAATTACGTTATGCTTGGTTAAGAATTCAATTCAAATCAGCAAACGAAAACATTCTGTTACGTCTCGATTTCATACATTGAGTTCTCGTGTTTGGATATCCCGGTGAAACACTCGCTCTCGTTGTTCATATATTACATACCATACCATACCATACCATACCATACCATACCATACCACACCATACCACACCATACCATATACCATACCATACCATACCATACCATACCATACCATACCATATCATATCATATCATATCATACCATACCATACCATACCATACCATACCATACCATACCATACCATACCATACACTTACTTTCACAAGGCCAAGCACATTCTAGCTTGGTTTCCACAGAGTTGCCTTGACAACGAGACCCACCAGCTTTCGGAGCAGGGTTTTCACATCTTCTTGTTCTGTTCACCACAGATCCACCACAGATGCTCTCACAGATAGACCATTGACCCCATTCTGACCAACCACCGCTCACTAAAAAACAAAGAGAATATATTAACCAACGTCGTGTGCCACTCTCGCGCTCGTTTGACCCTGGCTTAATCCCGACTTTTGGACTGTAACTAACACCCAGCATTAAGGCTGATTTACACTTTCAAAGTTTCTGTGATCACAGTAGGTATTTTGCATAGGTCAATTCCAAGTTTTGAAGATTTTGTAAGAAATGTTTGAGGGAAGTGATTCAATGTTAAATACCGAGTCAGTTCCCTCAAACATTTCTTACAAATCCTTCAAAAGTTAAAGTTTACCCATGCAAAATTCCTACTGTGATCACAGAAACTTTGATAGTACAACTAACACTCAGCATTATCACTTCAATTTTTTTAACAGCTTTAATTTGGCACATAAATGAATAGACAGTATTTTACTCAACTCACGTAAACAATTACATTGGACTAAAAGGTGCCAAAGTGGCAAAACACAAACGAGACTATGTCCCATGCAAGGTGTTCACCACAAGACAGGAAACAAAGTTACAAATATCAACTAACTAGTAGATAGATTGGAAGATAGAGAGTGAATGGAAAAGACGAGAAGAAGTACTAGAAAGGGACATATTTTATTTAATGATTCGAGATAAATGAATGTGAGCTGGGTAGGAATGAATGTTTACCTGGGCAGTCAGCACGCTCGGCATTAGGTCCAGGACAATATGCTCCATTGGCATCAGGTTTTGGGTTAGTGCACGTCCTAGTTCTGATCTTCTGATCTCCAGCACATTGCCCTGACGCACAGCCACTCCATCCCGACCAAGACGACCAACCACCATCTGAAGAAATAAGGGAAAATCAACTCAAAGTTTAAACCCAGGGGTTGAATTAACAGGGTCGCCTATTGCGACCAAATTTTCAGTCATCTGGCGACCCAGATATTTGCCAAAGGTAGCCCTCGTCGCGATTGAGAACATTTTGTCAAAACTTTAAGAACTGTTTTTCATGTTATAAAGAGAATTCTTCAAAACACAAAACTCAGAAGGCAACTTAGGCACAACTCAGAAAAGGCAACTTAGGCACAGCCAATGTCATATATCAGTTGCCGCTGCTACTAAACTGACTTTAATCTTGGTTATAGATAGATAGATGGAAAATTTCTACTTAAGAAGGGTAGCCCATTCAACATAAAATATACACTGGTAACAATATCTGGGGTCTGGAAAATATCATGCATAGACAAAAATACAGTCATACTATATCATCAACAACCAATTTCAGAAATCTTAAAAATCACTATTCGCCGATGGGGACAGCCGGCCATCGTGTAATCGGCCCCAAAATTATATCAAAATCAAACCATACCTCTACTTTCCACAGATTTCAAATATAAAACTACGAATACTAAAAACAAATGTAACCGTCCCATATTTTACAACGACACCATAAACTGGCAAGACTATTAAATTTTCGGCAAACCCTAATCGTTAGTTTCTCCCACCTCAGCCGAGTGGTAAAATTAAAACAACCCTAAGAATTGAGACGAGCTATTAAGCAAACCTATTATCTTTTTATTTAACTTTTATTAACTCTTGTTATTCAGCTGTTACATAGAACAGCAGCTTTATTTGTCAAGCGTTAAACTTCAATTATTTTTTGTAATCGATTAATGCATAAAACCCATACTAAAATACACCTATTTCATTAAAAGATCATGGCATGTTTGCCTTTAGCTAAATGATTTTATGGTTAGCTATTAAACACGGCAGTCAGATAGTCTATCGTATTTCCACGAGAAATATAGATTATAGAACAAGTGAAATGGGCAGACTTTTTTACATCAAAGTACACGACTTAATCACTTAACTGAGCTAACTTTATTTACACTGGATATAAATTTGTCACTTAATATGTTCTCCGTATAGAGGTCCACTTTCTAACAGCCTAGATTATCAAGAGATGACCTTTACCGTGGACCTCTAAGAACAGTTTAAAATTGGTAGAGCTATGCAGTATAAAGAGTCTAGTTATAATTCTTGTAAATTTCTTTTCATTTCTTCCAATTTTCACTATTCTTTTTTTTTGTGCAAACAATAGTCTTTAGCGATCGGCCTAAGTAAACATTATATTCATTTCGTTGTTGAATCATCACAGAAGCAATTTAGTAATTTGCAAGTGCAAACATTATCGGCCCACGAAATAATAATTTGAATTTTTGTGCAGCGAATCAGCGTTTGAAATGGTAATCGATTCTATTTTGGTACTGCTTGATTCGGATAAAATGAATACTGTTAGCATTTAGCATAGACAAAAGATGAGCTATCCAGATGTACTTGCTAGAATAGTGAGATCAGAATACTGAGAATGGTTCTGGAAACAAATCAAATCAGGCCTGATATTTTCTAATGCTGTACCTGTACATCCAGACACATATAAGTCAGAAAGCATGAAAGGGGGAGGGGGCCAGGAATTTTGGTTATCTGGTGGTGGTAATGGTATTGGCAATTGTATCGAGGAGGGTGGCCACCCTGGCACCCCTCTAAGCCCACCCATGGTTCTACCATCACAACAGAGGTTTTTTATGACAAAAAACTGACGAAACAACCACGCCCATAATATTTTAAACTATGCTCATACACCCTCTGTCAAAGCCTGGTTAATAGAACTAGATCTATTAACCGTGGTCAAAGGTTTTACTATGTCTAGAACAGCATGAAGTATAAAGTATTTAGTAATCGTAATAATATATATTAAATACGAATTGACTGCTGAAATATGTTGTAAAAGAACTAATTATGTCATACATACTCTGATACTCTTTCTAACAAAGGGGTTAATCTATGGAATACATTAGATACAAAATTCAAAAGAATAAACTCTTACTATGTCTACAAAAGATTAATCAAACAACATGTTATAGTAAGCTAGATCATCTTCAACTTATATGCAATGACCACAGATATACAGCAACCGTTAATTCTATAGTGAAAATTGTGTAATCTTGTAACTGTATATTATGATATAATATCCTTCTTTTGTAAATAGTATCTACTTTAAACTTACTTCAATAATTACTCTTCACTGTAAATATATATGCAATTTTTTTACAAACCTAACTAGTGGCCTACATTAAAAAGCCTGTAAAGGTTTCCAGTAGGTCTCTAGCCCAACACCTTCAAACTACACATAGTTTTGTCACTTATTATTGTACACATGGGAAATAAATATATGATTGATTGATATATAAAATTTTAGAATTATTAGAAATTTACAAGTCTGACCTTCAGAGAGCAATTAATTTAAAGAATGTAGATAAATATATAAAGTCAATGGTAAATGAGTAATAAATATTACTTCTCTAAACTATCAATATAAAGTAAAGTTAGAAATAGTTTCCTATACACTTTTATAAAATGTAGCTAGAGCGCCCAGTATAAAGCTTCTGGCCATATTTTATAAATATTTTCCATTACTATTGTTAATTGTCATATGAACCATTTTGATTTATACATAATATATAAAATTTAAATAAATAACTAAAATTTCTTTTATGTATTTCTATATTTTTTAGAATCATAGGACGCCATTTTGAATACTTATTAGCTCCCTCCCAGGCCTACAATAAGCTCGGAATCCAAGATGGCCGCCGAAACTGAAGTTGAAATAAAAGGTTTAAAAAGACCTCTAGTCGAAGATTACAGCGACGATGATGAGGAAGAAGAATACGTACATAAAGGTTAGCAATTGTCCCTTTAGTTTGGTAGCTAAAATGGCCACTTGAGCCGCTCAAACGGTAGATATTAACTCTGTAATATAGGTTAACTAGTGACCACAGTATAGCTGAAAATGACCAGCAGCTAGTCAGGCCAGGGTTATTACCATTACTTTATGACTGGTTTGCAATCATACCAAGTATTAGCTGAAAATGACCAGCGGCTAGTCAGGCCAGGTTATTACATTACTTTATGACTGGTTTGCAATCATACCAAGTACAATCAATATGCAATTTTTATCCTGTACTGAGCTCAAAAGAGAACTGATATGTGCATATGTCTGTGTATTAAATACCCAAGAATCTTCCTTTTATATTAAAATACAACCTATCCAGACAAAAGAGCTAGAAGCTAGATTGCATGTGATATACACAAGCAATGATTCTGAAAAACTTGTGCCTAATATTTCCCAGATAGTTCATCCAATATTGTATTTATACGCATAGTCGGATCATATTTCAAGATGAACTATTGCCCAGATTTTTCTGAACAGAAGAACCATTGATAGCTTGTCTTGAGAGATGATCCGTCTGTTTGCCGCATTTATACATCGACATTTCTCAGATGAACTATCCGGCCTCTTTCTACCAGAATTCCTCCATGCAAATTGTCTACCCCTTGTATAAATTGATCATAGTTAATTATCACATTTCAGATGAATATGTAAACAAAAGCCGACAATGTCCCTACCTGGATACAATTAACAGGTATAGATGATCAAATTCCATTTCCTGTATCCGGCCCTATGCAGAATTCTAAAAATAAATCAAAACAATGACTGAACTAGATGGTTTGGAGAACAGTGGGATTTTCAAAACAATGACAGATAACAGAACTTTCAATCATGGATCGTGACTGAATGGCACTATTTTTCATTTTAGGCAAATTCTTGATTTTGACTTTGAGAAGCTGTGTTCAATATCATTGTCACATACAAATGTCTATGCTTGTCTTGTCTGTGGAAAATATTTCCAAGGTAAAACCAAATTTCTTTAGATTTCTGCAATATGCAGTTGCCTGATTATAATTCCCCCCCTCAGTCACATGTGAGAAGAGTGCTTCCAATTTGACTGTACCAAAAACCATTCTGGTTCCCTCCTAGAAATTGATGGTAACTTTGGTTTGTATTTATTGCATTTGTTTCAGGTCGTGGTAAACATTCCCATGCTTATACCCATAGTGTTCAAGTTGGTCACCATGTTTTTCTTAATTTACATACATTGAAGGTAAGATGAAACCATCACCATTACCACTACCATCATCATGCACCACCACCATCTTCACCACTGCTACAATAATCATCATTACTATCATCGTCACCACTATAATTATCACCACCATCATCATCATCACCATTATCACCATTACTGCCACCATCAACACAACCATGTACAGTACCATAACACTACCACCACCATATACCATTGTCATCACCACCATGCACCAAAATCGCCACCACTAACATAACCATTATCACCACCACATATCATCATCACCACCATCATCATCATCACCACCGTCATCATCATCGCCACCATTACCATCAACATCACTATATATTGTACTTCACCATACGGTGTACCGGTATAGTGCTTGTTAGTAATTACAGTACTGTACATGTCAAAATTTTGATTTTCAGTTTTATTGTTTACCTGACAATTATGAAGTTATTGACTCGTCCTTGGATGACATAAAGGTACTCCACCACATATATGTACCATACTATACATACATTCCACCCATATTCTGTTTGAACCATATACCAATCCTATGAGTGCCAACCATGTGTTGTTACTCTGTTTCAGTATGTGCTCAACCCAACATTTGAAAAGTCTGAAGTAGCACAACTAGATAAAACAAACAAACTATCAAGAGCTTTTGATGGAACAACCTATCGTCCAGGTATTACAAAAATAATAACTTTATTTATACTGGATAGTTCCATCATTCTAAACTGCTCTTCCTAGAGATCCAGTAATGATCATCTCTTATTATTGGTCCAGTGGCATTACAGGAGGAAACCTAAACTAAACTAACTTTATTTATACTAGATAGCTCTATCAGTTCTAAACTGTTCTTCCTAGAGATCCAGTAAGGTTCATCTCTTATTGATCCAATGTTACTACAGGAGGAAACCTAAACTAAACTAACTTTATTTATGCTGAATAGCTCTATCAGTTCTAAACTGTTCTTCCTAGAGGTCCAGTAAGGATCATCTCTTATTGATGCAGTGTTACTACAAGGGGAAACCTAAACTACATGTAAACTAACTTTATTTATACTGGATAGATCTATCAGTTTTAACCTTTTCTACCAAATGTCCAGTAACTGTCACACCCCAGGTTTACAGCAGGAAATGTGAACTATTTTGCTACAGGTATATCTATTGTTTCATGTAGGTGTGGTGGGTTTAAATAACATCAAAGAAAACGATTACCTTAATGTAGTTCTGCAGGTCGGTTGCTGTCTCCTTAATCATCAGTTTCCAAAATAATTCAAATTCAAACTTATCTCTTCTTTATCTATTCCAGGCAATGTCATTTGCCCCCACAATTCGCGATTTCTTTCTACGTGAAGAGAACTACAAAGACATCAAAATGCCTTCAGGAGATATTTCGTTTATTTTAGGTATTTTTATTCCACTGACGTAATTTACAGGGTGTAGTGGTTTACTACTGAAGTTTCTCTATTCTATGTTACTAGCGCAAAGATTTGGTGAATTATTGCGAAAATTATGGAATCCAAGAAATTTTAAGGCCCATGTCAGTCCTCATGAAATGCTTCAGGTGTTGCTTTTATTCTTTCTAATAACGTATTTAGTATCGATGATTTATCGAGGTAAAATCTTGTAGCCTTAAAGTAGCCGAATTATGAGTAGGTATACTGTATATATACAGTAATAAAATTGTTAAAATAATTACATGTACAGTGTATCTATCTGTACAAATGAATGAATGAATAACAATATTTATTGAGAGTGGACATCAATCTAACACTAAAATGTTAATGAGGGTGGCCCTCAGAAAAATGGTTCCAGCACTGGTGGTATCGTGGTTATACCACGCTTTGGCCTTTCAAGTTGGGAGACCTGGGTTCAGTCCTTGGT